TGAGGAACTTTAAATGCCAAATCTAGAGACAATAAGGAGTTTTTGTTGTTATTCAGTCGTTTCAGTCATGTCTAACTCTTTGTGACCCCATTTGGTGTTTTGTTGGCAAAGATACTGGAGTATTCCTTCTCCAGCTTGTTTTACAGATGAGGAAACTGAGGCAAACAGGATTAAGTGACTTGTCCAGGGTCACATAGCTAGTAAGTGTCTGAGGCTGTATTTGAACTAAGGTCTTCCTGACTCCAGGCCTGGCCCTCTGTCCACTGTGTCACCTATCTGCCCATAGTCAGGTGCTACTAGGGTTTACTGAGTGAAGAGGTATTTTGGTCAGATTTCCCCTTTAGAAAAATCATTTTGGCAGCCTTGTAGAAGATGGATCGGAATAGGGAATAATTTCAGTCAGTGAGACCAATTAAGAGGCTATTGCAATAGCCCAAGTGAAAGGTGATGAGGTACCCAACTCAGATCAGGCCTTCAGATCATGAATGTGTTCATGGAGAGAAAGAGAAGGAAGCAAGAGATGTCGAGGAGCACAAGAATTGGCAAATTATTGGATGTCTAGGGTAAGAGTGAAGGACTAATGATGCTGTTTGTTAAACTGATTGATTCAAATGCCCTAGACAGAAATAAGAAAGTTTAGGAAAGGGATAGGTTTGGGGCAAAAAATAACAAAGTGTTTTTTTATTTTTAAATATTAGCCTGAGATGCCTACTAAAGATCCAGTTTGAAACATCCAATAGGCAGTTGACGGGGGATTGGAACTTGGTAGAGAGACTGCTTAAGGGTGCATGCATAGCTCTAGGAATCATTTACATAGAGATGGCTCTTAAAGCCATGAGAGCTGATGAGGTCATTAAGTGCAAGAGCAGAAACAAAAAAGAGAAAGGTGCAAGACAGAGCCCTAGGATACATCCAAAGTTAGGGGACTTTGAATGATAATCAAGCCAAGACTGAAAAGATGCCATCAACACACAGGAGAACCAAGAGAGAGCAGTGTTATGAAAACCCAAAGAAGAGAGAATGTCCAGAAGGAGAGTGTGGCCAAGAGTGTCAAATGCTATAGAGAAATCAAGGAGAAGGAAGATTGAGTTAAAGCCTTTAGACCCGACAATTAAAAGATTACTGCTAATTTTGGGGAGGGGAGTTTTAGCTGCGGGGTTGAGGTTAGAACCCAGATTGCAGAGGTTTTAGAAGAAATGGGGGCAATGAGTGTAGACAGTTTTTTCAAGGAGGCTGGTTGAAAAAAGGAGAAACAAGACAAAAACTAGTAGGGATTGTAGGGCCTAGTGAGGATTTTTTAAGGGTGAGAGAGACTTGGATGTATTTACAAACAACAGTTAAGAACTAATAGAAGATTAGAGGTGGGGAGGGAATGATAGTGGATGGCAAGCTGCTGGAGAAGATGGGAAGTTGTGGAATTAAAGGTACATTTGGAGGGATTGGCCTTAATGAGGAGGTCACCTATTCATCAGAGTCTGGCCTAAAGAACTACTACAAAACAAACAAAGCAGAAACAAGAGAACAATATTCATGATAGAAACAATAACATAGAAGAAAATAAAACTGAAAGACATCAGAATTCAGAGTTACGTAATGATCAGTCTTGATTCCAGAAGACTCTTCATGAAACTGCTTCTTCCCTCTTCTTGATAGAAATGAGGTGAACGGTGGATCCAGAATTCTGCATGCACTGTCAGACATGGTTGATGGGTTTTTGTTAATAAAATGTTTCTTTTTCTTACAAGGGAAAGTTCTATGAGGTTCAGGGAGTGTGGTGATGTAAAAGAAAATTGATTGCAAAAAATAAAGTGCCCAGGTATAAAATTCATCTTGCCTGAAGGCTGAGCCCAGAAATCTGGGAAAAATCTCTGGGTTCCAGATTCCAAAAGGCTAGTATCAGCTTCTAACTTACAAGTACAAGTGCTCTGGAAATGCTATAGCAAAGATTAGTTATTAAAAGAAAATAAAAACAATGAACATTAAATATTCTGCGATAAGTAACTTAGAGTAACCCAAGATCCAAATATACCACAATGAGTGTTTCCCATTATCACTTGAAATCCAGGAGTGAACAATCTTCTACCAGGGAAGCTTTCTTCAATTTCTCAATTGACAATACCTTCTGTACCACTCCTCTGCAGGATCTTCCCTTAAACAGTGGATTCTCTTAGCCATTCTGGGCAACCTCATATTGTCATGGGCAATAATCGCTAATACTTATATAGCACTTATTATGTGCCTGGTACTGGCTAAGCACTTTACAATTATTATCTCATTTATCCTCATGACAATCCTGGGAAGTAGATGCTCTTATTATCCCCATTTTACAGATAATGAAACTGAGGCAAACAAAGGTTAAATGACTTGCCCAGGGTCACACAACTAGTAAGTATCTGAGACCACATTTGAACTCAGATCTTCCTGACTCTTCGCCTGGCATTCTGTGCACTCTGTCACTTACCTGCATAGATTTGGCACCAGGAGAGTTTCTCTGATGATCATAGAAATGACTACTGATCTTTCCCATAGAAAGAAATAAGGATTTTACCCCCCCATATCAGGGCTCATCTTCTTCATTTACAATTACTTTTCAGACATATTCAGAGATGTATCCAGTAGCCAGCGTCTTTATGGAAGCTTGGCACAGTGACCTCTTCTCTTCTCTGGGGTTTACATTCATCTACTCTCACTCAGGAGTGGCATCTTTATAATTTGTTGCTGTTGTTCAGTTGATTCAGCAGTGTCCAACTTTTGGTGATCCCACGGACCATCCTTTCCAGGGGGTTTTCTTGGTAAAGACTCGAGAGCTGTTTGCTATTTCCTGCCCCAGTGCCTCAAGGCAAACAGAGGTTAAATGATTTGCCCCGAGTCACATAGCTAGTAAGTATCTGAGGCCGGATATGTACTCAGGTCTTCCCGACCCCAGGCCCAGCACTTTTTCCATCGAGCCACCTAGCTGCCTCAATCTTTGTAATACTCTCACAGAAAAACACGTCATCATTCTCCATAGCTCCCACTCAATGACATTTATTTCTGCCATGCTGTAGACAATGTGATTGTCATAGACTCTATCTTTTTAACTCAGGGTGATCTATGTTTGAACTCAATTCAGTTGTCTTCCCAAGACTTCTAGGAAGGAAGTAATGTATTATTCCCAAAGAGCCACATCCTACCTTGCCAAACTACCTCGGTATACTACAAATCAGTCACAATATAAACAAAGAGCCCTCGACCACCACCACAGGTTACCCAAGAAATATGTCTGCATGGATTTCCAAAAGCTACTAGACTCAGTCTTCAAAAATCCAATAAACTTTGATTCTTCTCTGTTCTATATAGACTGTAGATATTTCTGATGCTGTTAGATGAACCTCTTCTAGTCAAGTCCTAGGGGAGTGATTGGCAAGGCTGAGATGATGGCTCACAAGCAGTAAAACTGGAAGGCTGGTTGAATAAATAACATAAAGGAGCCTGCTGGTTAATGACCAAACAAAGAGTTCTTGGAAGTGACATGTACTAAGGCTGGAAGAATCTAGAGGTTAGAACCTCCAGGTGCCTAGCAACCTTTCTCACACATGTACAAAAGGAATATAATGCTGGACTTGGAGTCAGGAAGTCCTGAGTGTGAAACCTGATTCAAGCACTTACTATCTGTACTACCCTGAGCAAGTTACTTAACCTCTCTCAGCCTCAGTTTCCTCACCTGTAAAATGGACAACTAGGTGGCACAGTGGATAGAGTGCCAGGCCTGCAAGTCATTTAACCTTGTTTGCCTCAGTTTCCTCCATTGTAAAATGAGCTAGAGAAGGAAATGGCAAATCATGCCAGTATCTTTGCCAACAAAACCCCAAATGGGGTCACAAAGAGTCAAACACGATTGAAAAATGGGGATAGTAATAACATCTACCTCAAGGGATTGTTATGAGGATCAAATGAGCTAACATTTGCAAAATGTTTTGCAAACCTTAAAGCTCTATATAAATGTTAGCTGTTATAATTATTAAGGAATACCCCCTTCATTCACCTGCTCATTAATTATTAACTCATGAATTATTGTCATATTTTATACATGAACCAAAGAAAGTTTGAACGTTAGAAATGGGTTCAATGTTGAAAGAAATGTAAGAAGAAGAAGGTACTTAGCTACAATGTTTCATTTAGATTAGATAATCACACCCTTGCATGTTTAAATAGAGGCTAAGTACAAGTTACAGAGATGATACAGATGCTATTGCATCACTATCCATCAGCACATGAGAAACAGTGCTTTTTCTTATTGGCTCACAGGGTCAGAGCTGGAAGGATCTTAGAAACATCTAATCCCACCCCCTCATTTTCCAAATGAAGAAACTGAGGCTTAGAAAAGCGACTTGACTTGGTCACGGCATACATAAGTGGTAGTGCTGAGATTGAAATCCCAGGTCCCCAACTCCACATTTTGCCCCCTTTTTTTTTATACCTTATTGCTTCTGAGGAAGGCTTCCCAGGGGAACAAGTTGTATGTTGCATTAACAGATAACAGGCACAGAAATAACTTAATGCCAAAAAGAAAGCATATTCCCAATTTGAGGCTGACCTAGGGAAATGGGATGCCATTTCACTAAATGTCTTCTCCAGGTTGATTCAACAGATGAAATGAGTGGGTAGGTGAGCATCCACATGGCCAGTTCTCAGAATGATGATGACTACTACAGAAGGACAGGGCAGTAGGAAAATGTAATTCAAAGATTCTTTCATTGGAAAAGTCAAGTATCACAAAATAGATATTGCCAGGGCATAGCCGTGTGGTCCCCTTTCCCTCTATGTACATATCAGTGGTGCCTGTTCATCTCCTGGTACTCTGAGGATACCCTTATTCCCTTCTTCTTTCAATCAGGATTGGAATGATATCTCATTGGAACAATGGTAAAGTAAGGATTATTAGAGAAATGGGCAAGGGGAACTTGTCTTCTGTATCTGTAGGCTCAGGGAGCTTCCTGTGGTCTTTTATCCGATGGAACTTAAAAAATCCCATCTCTCAAGCAGTTCCTCCTCTCCAGAACACCTCTTAGCTGAGGGTTAGTCAGGATCAGAATCATGGAGTGGATTGTTGTGCACGGGTAAGTCAAAATCTCCCACCCCCAGTACCATGACTTCAAAGAGGGCAAGATGTTTGAAGCATTGAGCAGTGATGCCAAAAAGTAGGAGAAAAATAGGATGAAGAAGGAGATGAGTGTCTTGATAGCCTTTATGTGAGCCTGGGTCCTGAAGTCCCAGAGGCCAGAATCACTACATAGCATCTTCTTTCTGTGTCTTTCCAGGGAACTGATAAGCAAAATCATACAGACGAAGAAGATGGAGGCTGGAATTGAATAAGTAATTATTTTCAGAGGGAAAAAGTAGTATATTTCCAATTTTCTTCTCAAAATTTCCCTAGTACAATTCTCAAATACAAGACTCCTTACCGAGTAGATATAATAGATATAATGGTTGCCTATAATAAACAGGAAAGCAATGGCAAAGCTGAGGCCAAGGGATCCGAGCAATAGCCAAGTCATGTACCCGGAGATCCTCCATTTCAGCCAGAGGAAGACAGGGTAGGTGAAGGTTGCAATTTTCACACAGTAGAAGACACTGAGCAAAGCACAGGACCATATGGTAAGAGAGTTCAAAAAATCCCAGTGAAAGGAAAGGTATTGTCGTATAGGGCTGTATGCGAAGGCCATTGGATAGAGCAAGATGTACAGGTTCCTTCCACATATCACCCACTGCAGGAAGAAGCGAGATGCACTCAGGAAAGTTAAGATCTTATCACTTGGGGGAAGTGTCCCACATCGTGCCCATTTGCTGGCCAGCACTACAAAGATAAAGCCATTCTCCACAATCGATACTAGACACAAGAAGTAGAAAATGACAATTATTCCAACCATGTCCTTTTCAAGCATTCTGTTGCCTGGGAGCATTTCTGTTGCTGACAGCTTGGTTGCTTTAGGGCAGGTGGCAAGTCTTCAAGGGTTGTTCCTGTTGGGCTCTTCTGAAGAGACTCTAGATAATTTGTAATGAACTTTCAGCTACCTTTCTTCTCAAATGCTCAGGTTTGGCCAGAGAAGAGGATGCAGACAATCTGATGAGAGAGAGGGAGAGGTCCCTTCCCCTCAGAATGGATGCAAATCTCCCTAAGATTCAGTTACCAAAGTCCCCAGTAAATGAATGCCTGTAATTTGCTTACCCTTCCTCTGTCATCCCAGTTAGTCAACATCAGCAGAGATATGGCATTAGGCCACTGGGTGCAATGTACATTGGAAAACTATACTGTTCCTTTATTGTAACACTATATTCCCATCTCCTATGTGCCTCACACCTGGTCAATTCCTGTCAGCATCTTCCAAGATCTCACATTCATCTCCATCTCCTACAATTGACAATTCCTCTACCTCTTTAACCTGTTTCCTTGGATTGCTCACATACCTGGACCATTATGCCCCTACTTCCTCCTTCTAGCATAAGAAATAGAAGAACCAAGAATGAACCAGAATCTAACTCCTTTTGATAGCCCAATAAGGAGGGCAGATAAAATTTTCTATAAACATAGCCTCTCATTATCTTCTACCAGAAATGGTCTCTGCAACACTTTCTACTGTAAGGAGCAAAGTAATTGAGCAAGGGATATTATGCATGATGCTATGCATTCTGTTCTGCAAAGTTCTCTTGGTGCCATCTGTAGAGCTAATGGTGAAAAGATCTCATGAAATGTTGTTGGTCAAAGAGTAGTTGAGCTACCAGATCTTTCCTCATTCACTCAACACATACTTAACATATGTGCATAACAGAAGGGTGGCATGGAAAAAGGAGCAAGAATATCTCTGGAACGCTGTCGATTTTCCAGAAACTGGAAACCCATTGAATCCAAAGGTTTTGTATTTATATCACAAGGGATCCAAATGGAGATGGCCAGATGTCATTTGAAAGTGGCCAATCCAATTTAGGTAAAACTCCCACAATCTCCCAGTATCTACTGGCAATTTGTAGATTCATTCATGCCCTTATAGAACTCCTGAAATGTTTGTGATAGGAAAGCTCATATTTGTGCAGTTTTTGAAGTAGCAGGAGGCATTTGGAATCATGGAGAGTTTTTTTCTAAGGCAACTCTTCTCCAAAACATGTAGCCTGAGTCCCACTCTCCATTCCTTAAACAAATTGCACTCAGTACAAGACCCATGAGTAGATCCTCCAGACATCAAGATCTGGTATGAAGCAAACAAACAGGCACGAAGAGCATCACCATAGGAGTTAAAGAGTGGGCTTCCAAGCCAAAGAAAGGAGCAAAGAAGAGAGTATCCCATTGCTAAAACAAGATAAGAACTAAGAGAGGTAAGGGAGCACTCTAATTCTGGACCAGAGTAGGACCAGAAGTGAGACTCCCAATAGAGAAGAGAGTGTCTGGATGTCTCCAACACTTGGTTGCTCCTCGTAGTAACTTTTCCACTACTTGACCACGGCTTTCAGTTTAATCCTTATAAGCTGACTTCATATATTCAGCTAAAATGGTTTCCCATGAGTTTTTATAAACTAGAAGCAGAAATAAGAAAACAATGTATTCAGTGACTACAATCATATCTAAAATGACCACTCCCTTCTCCTGTAAGGTGAGGAGCTTCTTAGCCCCAGACCCATATACACAGGCAGACTGGGTTCAGTATTGCAGGAGTCTAGCACCTAATGAAAGGAGGACCAAACTCCCTTGCCTCACACCCTTTGGGTCCTAGAGACAATTTATTTAAAAAGTAGGTTTTAGCTCACATCTAAGGACTCCCTCATCCAAAAAAGGTGAGTAGAAAGGTATTTAATGTAAAATATAAATCAGGCATTGGACAGGTATTTTTTTTTCCTACACACAAAAGAAATGCTAAAACACAAAAGACTCAATAGCACACATTAACAGAATCAGTTAAAATAGAATTCAGTAACTTTTGTTATGATCTCTCCAGGATGCTGATGATTAAGTCTCATAAGAACATAAAGGAACATGTGAGACTGTTGAATAGGAATAGCTACCTTTCACCTCTGCTCAACACATTATCCAAATCACTCTCAGTAATTCTGTTGATGGTCTAATGAAGAAACTCACTTTCCCTTCAGTCAACTTGAGCTGAACAAACTTCTCTGGAACCTATAAGTTCACCTTCAAATCCATCTTAGGTACCAATTCAAGAAAGGAAACACAAAGCATGAAAACCAGCCAGGGGTCCAGCCTCAAGTTCTGCAAGTGAAGCTCCCCTCCTCTAGCTGACTTGTGACGCAGTTGCTATGACACCAGGGTGGGAAAGGGCTAAGCTATTTCTCATCCCTCACTAGAAGTCTTAGAATTACATTACAGAACCTGGAACAGCGAAGGAAGAAAGAGCCAGCCAGAAGTTCTACGTTCTTTTAAATGACACAGACTCCCACCTCCCAGACACCATCAGTACTGGAAGGGGACAAAAGGGCTGCTGAGGATTTTCTTTTATCCTTTCAGTACTGGGCTATCATGTAGCCAGAAGCAGTTGGGAAATGTCATCCCAAAAGGCTGCAGCATTGAGTCATCGTGTCCCTGAAGTCCCTGGAAGTTTCCAGGGGAGTTCCAGCAACATGTTCCCTAGAATGGCCCTTATAGACCAATTCAACTTCCAATATACATGTAAATGAAAAGATTGAAAACAACAACAGCAACAGCAACTAAAGACTGTATAATTATAATGACCAAAGAGAGATGAGAAAAGCACACCTATCAATTTTCCTTGTGTAGGTGGTGGGCAATGAATGTGGAACTTCATACATGCTGTCAGACTCCACTGCTGTTTTGGTTAGTTTTGCTGAACTGCTTTTTTCCCTCCTTTTTTTTAAAAAAAAATCTTTGTTACCAGGTATGGCTTAATGGGTAAGAGAGATAAAGGAATATATACTGCTGATTTTTTTTTTAAAGAAAATATGTCAATAACATATTTTGGGACAGCTAAGTGGCATGGTAGGTAGAGTGCTGGGCCTGGAGTCAGGAAGACTTATCTCACTGACTTAAAATCCAGTCTTAGATATTTACTAGCTATGTGACCCTGGACAAGTCACTTACCCCTGTTTGCCTCAGTTTCTTTATCTATAAATGAGCTGGAGAAGGAAGTGACAAACCACTCCAGTATCTTTGCCAACAAAATCCCAAATGGGATAATGAAGACTCAGATACGAAAGAAAAATTATTGAACAACAAATGTCAATAACATTTTTTTTAAATTAAAAATAAAATAACCTCCTACAATCTCCAGGAAAAGGGGCTGGGACATGTCTGTCCAGTGCTAGTGAAATGAATGAAACAGTACAACTGCTGTTTCCTAGTACTTTTCTAAGGTCCCATGGACCTCCCACCAGATACATGAACTACATTGACTCCATTATTCTGGTTGCCCTGGTATTAATAGTAATGGAGAGATAGTCTAGTGTTGGGTTAGGGAAAATGAAAGAAATAGCAGGTTTGGCTTGATTGTGGCAATATGGAAGTTCAGCTGAACATGTGGGCAGGTTGTATGACTCTGTGGATCTCCTACCAGGTGTCTGAATCAACATCTTCTAAGGCCACTGAGATAAGACATGATAATGTCTTACAGATGAGCAAAGAAAAAGGAGTTCCCCAATGAAATACACCAGAGCTTTCTCATAAGAGAACTCTGCCACAGTGAGGCAGACCTCTTCTAGGTAATTGTTAGGCATGGCATGGGACTCCTGTATTCCAACCAGGTGTACCTATTTGCCCCATCTGGCACTATAGTGTCCAGGAGTTCTAAAATATGAACTGATGAAATGCTGCAGTCTCTATGGATGGAAATTCAGTTAAAATATAATGAAAGGGAAACATTGTAGACATCTTGGCTAAGATAATATCTTCCCTGTGTTAATGTAATGAGATATTGATGTTAAAGTTCTTTGCCATTACATAATAATAGTTGGTCACATGCTTCATTTCACAGTTGACGAAAATTGAGTGAACAAAAGTCACGACCTTCAGAAAGAAAAAAAATGGTTAGGTAGGAAGCCCAGATGAAATCAGAAGATTTGAGACTACCCAGGTAGTGGTAAATATGGGGCAAGGGGAAAATTCAAGAAAAAGTTTTTCAAAATCATGAACAATAGGATGCATAAATTGAAGGTGCACCAGCCATTCATGATGATAAGAATAATTTTATTACAGAATCTTAGAGTTGGAAGGGATCAGACAGATCTAAGTATCTAGACAGATAATACAGTCCAACTCTGTCCTTTTACATATAGGTTTACATATAAGACCACATCAATGAAAAGACTTACACAGATATAAATCAAGATCCCAGATTTGTACTCAAACTATTTGATTCCAAATATTATGCTCTTTCTACTATAATGTAACTACAAAATGGGTCATGTCATTCCCCTGATCAAAACCCTTTGATGCTTCCTGGTTTTCTAATATTCAAGACCCTTAGCTTGACATGCAAGTCTCCCTAAATCTGGTACAACCTGTCTCTGTGGCCTTATCAATCACTAATCTCTATCATATACTATATTCTGCAGTCAAATTGGATTATTCTTTGGCCACAGGACATACAAGCTCTTGCATCTAAGCCTATGTTCATGCCAGATCCTAAGCGTCAGACGCCCTCTTACCCTGTCTCTTTCTGTTAAAATCCTAACCATCTTTTAACACTAGGTTCAAATAATAGCTCATGTTCCCATGATGTTTTAACGTTTTGGAATTATTTTCATCACACCAATACTGTGAGGCAAGTAGTTCAACCATCATTGTTGTTGTTGTGTCTGACTCTATGTGACCCCATTTAGGGTTTTGTTGTCAAAGATATTGGCATGGTTTGCCATTTCCTTCTCCAGCATTTTACAGATGAGGAAACTGAGGCAAACAGGGGGTAAATGACTTGCTCGGGTCACATAGCTAGTAACTATCTGAGGCCAGATTTGAACTCAGAGAGATGAGTGTTCCTGACTCTACGCCCAGCGCTCTATCCACTGTACCGCCTCCCTGCCCTCAACCATTATTACCCATATTTTATAGAGGATGACACTGAAGCAGAGAAAGATTGACTTACCTGTGATCACACAGCTAGTAAGCTCAGGTTTGAACAAGTTCTCCTGATTTCAAGTCCAGTGCTCTCTCCATTACACCATGTGCATTTTCCATCCTTTATGAAATTTCCCCAGATCCCCTTTTGCCAACCAGAAAGAATCTCTCCTTCTTCAGAACATTCATTGTACTTTTTACTTATTATGACCTATTTTGTGTTCTAGTTACTTATATACCTGTATAATCTTCCTTCCTATACTGTAAGCTCCCCGAGATCAGGAACCATGTCATAGTTGCCATAAAATCTCTTAGCTCCTAGGCAAAAGTAAGATTTCCTAATGGTGTCACAGTTCTCCAAATGTTCCTGTTCATAAATGGCACAGTAGTAATTGCATTGAGCCTTGGAACACTACAAAGACTCCTGACTCTGTGAGATTCACAGTTATGCTGAAGAGGTTGGTCTAAACATCTACAATAGAAATAATTATTTTTTTACATTAATGTAGCCTAAGATTGAACTAGCTTTGTAAAAGGCTGTTATATCACACTACTGACTCATTAATCTTACAATCCACTAAACCCCTCCAGGGTCTTTTCCCACACCAACTACAGGCTAGCCACATTTTCCCCTTCCCGTACCCATGTAGTTGTTTTTTTTTAACCCATATGCACACCTTTACATTTATCTTTATTACACTTCATTTTATGATATTCAGCCTACCATTCAAGCCTACCAAGACTCTGAGATCCCCTTTTGGTATATGCCCACAGTGAATTAATTCAAAGACAGACTGAAATTCCTCATGTATATTCATGTAGCAGCACTTTTTGTGGTAGTGAAAAACTGGAAACAAAGTGAGTGCCCATTGATTGGGGAATGGTTGAAGAAATTGTGGTGTATCCATGTAATAGATGGAATATTATAGTGCTGGAACAATTTATATAAGGAATTCAGAGAAAAATAGGAAGGCTTGTATGAACTATTACAGAGCAAAATAAGCAGAACCAGGAAAACAATATAAATAATGACTAGAGAATGGAACTTTAAATATCTGGCTTCAAATCCCACCTCTGACAATTGTTAGCTATGTAAGATGCTTCTCTGAATCATAATTTCCTCATCTATAAAATAGGCATGCTCATAATAATTGCAGCATCTACTTCACAAGGTCGTTGTGGGGTTCAAATGTAAATAGACATAGATAAGTTTGCAAACCTTAAAGCTCTCTATAAATATCTATTTTTACTATGTTGTTGTTATTATTACAGTATTGTAAATAAACTCAACATTAAAGGACAATAGGACTCTGACCAATCTCTGTCCTGGAGAACTATTGATGAAACAAGGTAGGGGTATAATGTGGAAAGAGGGGTAGAGATCTAGAATGTAATATTTACTTTGTCAGAAGATATGGATATATGTTTTCATTTGTTACAAAAATAGTTCAACAAATTTCGAATATACTTAATTTTCACTCCCGTCCTTTCCTGGGTTTGAATTCTCTCACTTTCACATACCCTAATACACTTAGGTTTGAATCATTCCTTTCCCCCATCACGGTCCCATCCTCCCCCTCTCCCACACGTACATAACGCGTAGTCCTGAAGTTGGATTATCTCCTTCTTCTAGTCCCTTCCCCTCGGATTTGGGGTTGGATTATGAGTCAATAAATACTTAGGAATGTCAAAACCAAGCATAACACATTAACCCTGCCCTCTCAGAGTTAACAATCTTGTTAGGAAGACAAAGCTAACACATACTGAACAATAAACCCACAATACAAAACAGCAGATCATTACCCTGGTGTATGTGTCCCAGATGTAATCTTTGGAAGGAAAGCAAATGCATGGGAACCTGGGGGACAAGGCCCTTAATCACGACTTTGCCCCTGCACCGCTCCCCAAGCTCTCTGTTCTCCAACAATGAATCAGACAATACTTAAATGTGTAGCCACATGGGGCCCTAAGACCCAAACTGGGCATTTGCATCCCCATTCCACGTTTCCCTTGAGGTGATTCCCCCAACCCCCAAACTGGGAAGGGGGAAGGATGGGCACCGTGACCGTGGGAAGCAAATGAAGGTGAATGGGAGAGACGGAGACACAGTCATCCAAAGAGCCCATGGGCTACACAGAGCATGGAGCCCGAAGGGAAAGCAGGAGCGTGAATCTGGGTGCAGGTAGCGGACGGGGGGCAGAGGGCGGGGAGAACCCGGGAGCAGCCAATCGCCAGACCCACCCCCTCCCATCTGTGAGGGAGCTGAGCTGAGCTGGGCTGGGGCGGGGGGAGCGAAGCGGCGCGGCGGCGGCGGCGGCGGCGGCGGCGGCAGCGGCGACGGAGGCTGCTGGAGGGAGGGATGGAGGAGAAGGGAGGGGGGAGCGGAGCCGGAGCCCATAGAAGACGGCGGCGGCGCTGCAGAGCAGCTGGGGCGGCGGCACGGCCCCGGGTGCTACCCCCAGCGCCCGCCCAGCGCCTGTGAGGGCCCTGGCCCCGGCCCCCCGGAGTCATGGGCTGCATCGGCTCCAGGACTGTGGGTGGGTACCGCGGCGGGGGAGTGGGCGGGGGCTGGGCTCAGCCCCTCTCAGCCTGATCCCTCAGCCCTCCCCCCTCCCCCATCTCACCCCTCTTCATCCCTCTTCATCTCTCTCTCCATCCTTCTTTCCCTGCGCCCCCTCTGTGCCTCCATTCCTCTGTCCATCACTCACCTCTCCGTCCTGTTTTCCATCCTTCTCTCACTTCATCTTCCTCCACCTCTGTTTCTCTTCCTATTTCTATCTCTCCTTCCCTTTATCATTCTATCATCCCTCCCTCCATCTCCTCCCCAAGCCTCTGTCCCTGTCCCCATAACTCTTATCAACCTCCTCTCATTCCCTCCATCCCCTTCCTCCAACCCCTATTTCCTCATCTCTCCATCACCTTAACCTCCCTCCCTTCCCTTGCCTCCTTCTATCCACCCCTCCTTTTCATTTCCAAAATAGTCTCCCTTCATCCTCCTACCTCAGTTTCTCTGAGTCTCTTTTGGGCTCTCCCATACCCCCTTTTCATTTCCCCTCCTTTCCATCTGTCTCCCTGTGTTTTACCCCCTCATTGTCTTTCCCTCTCTTCTGCCTTTTCTTTTTTCCTCCCCCAGATTTGCTTTGTTCACGTGCATTTTCCTCTGGGGCGGGGGCGGGATCAACCCTGGGGATTCGGTAACTGAGGAGGTGGGTGGGTTCCTTGTCCTCCCGGAATGGGGTTGGGAAAAGAAATGGAGGGAAGGAAGAGTTTGACTGTGGGTTGGAGTGGAGAGGGGACGGGGAGTGAGGAATCAAGGGGAAAACTAAAGAAAAGACAGTACCTGTGTTGGTGGGGTCAGGTTGGGTGAGACTCTGACTTTATTTACCTGGTTTTAGGGGTTGGGTGTTGAAGAGTTAGGCTCCTTCTATTCTCCTCCCTCCCCTTTGTCTGGTCAGAAGAGGTCTCAGGAAAACTGCCCCCATATCCTTCACACAGCTTGGCAATTAAGTCTGACCCTCTTCCTCAACCTCCAAAATTGTTCTCTCCCCAATTCCCAACTTCCCATACTTACACACCCTTCAGTAACCTCAGGCTGAGAGAATAATTCTCAATGTTACTCACATTCTCACAGTACAGAAGCCTGGTTTCTTTGAAACCTTATTCATTTCTGTGGATACCCCCTCTTCCTCTACTCTCACCTCCTCTCCCCATCCCTCCCCTTCCTGCCCCCCACATCTCTGACTCAGCTCTCCCTATTGCTACAAATTCAATGTCCCCTTCTCTTTCTCTCCCACTCTCCCCACCTCTAAGGATCCCTACACTGATCAAGCATATTTCTGGGCCTCCAACCAACCCCAGATTCTCTCTTATTCTCTGAGGCTCTTTATTTTTTCCCCTGCCCTAGGCTGAGCCTTTTGCCTTTTGGATCCACTAGCTTTCCCTCCCTAACCGCCCCCCCCACTTCTAACAATGATGGGGAGATTTTCCATACATAAGGGGCTTAGCTGTCTACTATCTTAAATTGAGTATTTTCTCTTCCACTGAGACCTGCCTCCAACCAGGGGGTCCCAGTGGTGATGTCAGAGCCCCAGACAACTTTTTCACTAAGACTTATTTCCAGCCATCCCACTGGTTTCACCTTTTCTCTAAGCTGGGAGCCTCAGGGAGGAGGGACTTTGATTCTATATACACAGTCTCCAAGTCCTCCCTTTCTCCCTCTAGTTTCCCTCTGATTCCATCAGGGCCTAAAGTTTCCCTTCTCCCCCAAGTCTTAACTTTCTTCCCATCATAAAGCCCATTCCTCATTAATAACTTCATCCTGCCCTCCCTAAGCCTAGGCTAAACTCCTCTATCCTATCCTTTGCACTGACCACCTCATTTCTGTGTTCACCTCACTAGTAACCCCCTACTGGGAAAAAAAGTAGCCAATGGAAAGTTTTCTCTTTGATTTATGATAGCGTGCTCTGTTTAGCTCATCTGAAGCTAAAATTCGGCTTATTGTTTTTACTATTATTACTATCAAATGTTGGGAGGAATAAGGGTAGTCACTGAATAATGAAATAGAGGACTAAAGAGAGGGGATGGGGATTGTAGGGCAGAGTTTCTCTACCTGGGGTTGGGGAGGGGTGGAGCTTGTTGGAATGGGAACTCTGAACCTTTCTATGGAAATGGGGCTGAGCTGGTACCCAGATTAGATTCAGTGGTGGTGCCAGATGGATTATGGGGGCTAGAGGCTGAGTTTTGGCCCCTGGCTGCCTCTAGGGAATGAGGTGATTGCAGTGGATTGGAAAGGTCTGAAGGATGTTGACCAAATCAACATGGACAGCACCAGCTCCCTGCATGGGAGTAGCATCCACCGGCCATCCACTGAGGTGAGGCCTTCACCCCACCCCAACCCCACCCCAAATGTTCCCTACCTACCATGAATTTCCTTAATATCTCTAGTCCCCTCTGAGATCCATCCTTTGTAACTGCATTATAGTGTCCTGCCCCTCTTAAGCCTTCCAAGTCCCAGCCTAAGAATCTCCATTCCTTTGCCCAAGAATTCACCTACCAATTGTTACCCTACCCATCCTCTAGGTTGATACCTCTCCAGGAATGCTCCAGAATCTCTCCCCAAGGATCCCCAGACTCTCATCTTAGAATTAAGACTAGCCTCAGTCCCTTTTCACCACACATGGATGGCCCTGCTATTTAGTGAAGAGAGAACTCTATGGAAGGGATGATTCTACAGCCCTCATTAGCAACTCTTCAAACAGTGTACTCTTATTGTGTCTCCTCACAGCAAACTCGAACAGATTTCTCCTGGGATGGCATCAATGTGAGTACTTGTCCTGGAGTCTCCCTGGCCTAACCCTCTTCCCTCTTAACTTCCTTCTCATTTTCCTACACCAATATGAAAGTGATGTATCTCTTCCTCTCCCTTTCCCACTCCAATCCTCCACAGCCCAATGAGAACCAGGACTCTTGAGTTCTAGTCTTACTGAATTCCAGTGAGGAACATGGGATCTTCTGCCTTTACTTATCTTTCCATCTCCTAACTATGACCCCTGTCTCTAGTCCTGTCCCTCCAGTTGTAAGGTTTACTGCTCCCAGAATCTTCTCTTCCTTTCACTAATTATTCCCTCCCCTTTATCCATTCTCTACCTTGCTCAGACTTTCACATCATCAGGTATAGATACCCTTATAAATAAACACACACACACACACACACACACACACACACACACATTCATTCTACCCTTTAGTTTCGAAGGACACTTCATTTGGATTCTTGGGAAAATATCTTTTCCCTACCTCCTTTCACTTAACCCTATAAATCTCATCTTCCTTCCCCTGGACACTCTGAATTCTCCCCATGCATGTCACAAACCCACAACCTCCCCCCCACTACACACACACACAGACACCCTTTGTCTAGCACCAACACTTATTAATTATGTGACTTTGAGAATATCATTTCATTTCCTTGAATCTCAGTGTCTTCACTTGTAAAATATGGATGATAATATCTGTACTACTTACATCACAGGATTTTGAAACCTTAAAGCACTATATAAATGTGAGTTATTATTGTTGTTGTTGTTGTCCTTGTTTTTCTGTGCCCTCCCCCAGCTTTCCATGGAGGACACAACCTCCATCCTTCCCAAGCTTAAGCGGAACTCCAATGCCTATGGTATTGGGGCCTTGGCCAAGTCGTCTTTCTCAGGTGAGACCCCAGTCCTGAGACTTATATAGCACCTTCATACACAAGGAACCTTCCTCCAACAACCACACATCCCCTTATCCTTGGCATCTATTGCCAACTCTACCCATTTTCTCCCAATGCCATCCGTACCTTTGCTTCTAGACTCTCCCTCTCAGAGTCTTCTTCCTATCCTTTTTGCCCTTTGAGAAATTGTCCCTCATTGGTAACACCCTGAGGTAGTCCTACATAATGAGGCTCCATTGGTTGGGGGTCATGGATTATGGGTGGTTTAGAGGGTCTGTCCTGGAGCCTGGGTAATAGCCTGTTGGGAATGGGTACCTTTGACTTCTTAGGGATCTCACGGAGCATGAAGGACCACGTTACAAAGCCTACAGCCATGGGGCAAGGTCGAGTGGCCCACATGATTGAGTGGCAGGGCTGGGGGAAGGCTCCAGCTGCTCAACCACAGCACAGTCATGAGTCTGTCCGAAGGGATACAGATGCCTACTCTGACCTCAGTGATGGCGAGAAGGAGGCTCGATTCCTTGCAGGTATCTTCCTCCCCAATCCTGGACATCCTCAACCAACTCCATGGCCCCAGACATACATCACTCAAAAGTCTCCCTGGACTTCTCACCCTGACCTCTCCAACTCAAGTCTTCCCATACTGGGGCCAACCCTATGCAGATTTATGTGGGATTTGAGTGCCTAGTTTCCCTAGAATATTTCTCTTCCTGGTCTCACATTTGCTCCATGTGACTCCCTTGATGTCCTATATCAGCACACAAAGACAAAGGTTGTTCCCAGAAGGCCACTGTTCAAACATGTTATCCAAGGAGACAGGAGTATGGTGGTCATCCTTCATCTATTAGTGCATTGTCACAAATTAGCTTGTCAAATTAACTAGCTATAACAAGTAATGGGAATAGCGTTGGGAGTAGAGTCCTAAGGGTATGAGATACAGGACAGGCAACTTTTAGTTAGCAGTAAAATCAGGTTTGAATCGTAGCTGTGTACCTTACGAGTTGGGTAATCTCCTTCAGAAAGTCACTTTAACTCTGCACCTCAGTTTTTTCAGCTGTAAAATGAAGGTGTTGGATGAAATAATCTCTAAAGTCCATTAGTCTCACATTTATGTGATCCCTGGGTGGGGAATATGGAGAACTTGCTGGAGAGGACATGCCAGTATGGCAAGCCATAGAACAGGACTCTGAGCCCTGGCTAAAGGAGGAGCAGCCTTAGAGTGTTGATTCAAGAAGAATATGGAAGGCATGGGAATATTAATATAGCAGAGAAGTCAATTTAATGAGGAACTTGGACCTAGCAAAATAAAATTTCTCCTTTACAATTTTCCTTAGAGTCAGGACCCCTAAACTCTCCTAGTCCCTAGAGAAATTCTCTCATGTCTCCCTTCCACCATGAAGACCTTTGAAGCCCCTCAACCTCAATTTACCTACAGAGTCCCTCCTGAAGACGTTGAACTGTGGTCTTTTAGGAGCTTCTCACAGAAATTCCCTAATCCTCACTCCTAGAAACATTTAAACATGAACACCTGACTATCTCCAGTCCCAATCTCTAGAGTACATCTCCCTGGAAATACTCCTTGGTTCCAACTTCCTTAATCCCCAGGGACTCCTTACCAGAAACCTCTACCTTTTTTGCTTAGAATTTCTCAATTGCAACACCTAGGAATTTTTCCTCATTTTTATCCCTAATTTGAGAGCTGTATTGTGGTGACCCCAGTTCTATGTCTGTGGTTGGAAGTGTTTCCTGTGATAACTCATCCTATTTCTTTCCCAGGGGTCATGGAACAGTTTGCTATCTCTGAGGCCACACTCATGGCTTGGTCTTCCATGGATGGTGAAGATATGAGTGTTAATTCCACCCAGGAGCCATTGGGCTGCAACTACAGCGATAACTACCAGGAGCTGATGGAAAGTCAGGGTGAGAGATGGTTCTAGAACCCTAAGATTAGGACCTCTTCCTGACTCCTAAGATCTCCAAAACCTTGTCACTTCTACCTAGACCACCATGGGCATTCTAGTTCTTTTAGTCCTTTCTACCACCCATTGCTCTGTGCTTCCCCCACATGCCCTCTATATTCCCTATGACCCCCATATGACTTTATTACCTGCCTGTAATCTGTGTGACATCTCCTTCTTTTATCCTTCTCTTCACAGATGCCCTAGCCCAGGCCCCATTGGATGGATGGCCACATTCCTATGTATCTCAAGGCATGTACTGCTTGGGTTCTTCAGATGCCTGGGAGGCAAGTGACCAGTCTCTCATAGCCTCTCCAGCCACTGGTTCCTACTTTGGTCCAGCCTTTGATGACTCCCAGCCCAGTCTGCATGAAGTAGGGCCTTCCCAACCTCCACCTGGGCACTTAGCCCAGGGGTCCCAACCCTTACTGGGAGGAGACCCTGACTGGGCTCCAGGCATGGGTGGAATGGACCCAGCAAGGGATGTGCCTGAGAAGAGACAAATGCCTGCTGAGGAGGAGGAAGATGCAGGATGCCGGGATCTGGAATCATTGTCCCCACGAGAAGAGCCTGAGGCATCTGCTATCCTCAGTCGGAAAGTATCAGATGTTACTTCCTCAGGGGTACAGTCTTTTGATGAGGAGGAGGGAGAGGCCAACAATTAGTTCCCTCCCATCCGTGTGCTCCTGCCCTCCCCCTCCTCAATTTTACCAGAGGGGCATGGCTACATCAAACATCCTGAGGGCAAAGGGGAACAGCACAGCCAAGGCAGGGTCATAGGGCAGTGAGGGACCCAGGAGTTCCCAATGACCCCAGCAATGGAGGGCATCAGGAAAGAAATTATCCCTGCTTAAGATCCAGAGACTATTGGGCTGATAATTGAGACAGAGACACAGCTGTGTGGATATGGAACCTTGAGCAGACAATGTCAAGGCTGTGACTGTGGTACATGGGGCCTGCAAATACTGATCTATACTGTAGATGAAGCCTGTGGCAATGGAGATGGAGATGTCTGTGGATGTTAGAGATTGGATAATGAATAGAGAGCCTATGGATACAGATTGGACCTTAATTCTTCATTCCCTTTAATTTAGTCTTCCAGGCCTGAGCTCTTGGCAGCCTAGATACCTCCTTGCCACCCTCCCAGTATGGCTTATTCTTCAGACTGTTCATTGTGGCCATGGTACCAGCTTATTCCTACCCTAGGGAACAGATCACCTGGGCACTTGGCCATGGCTGTAATGGATGCCACTTCAAGGGGCCCACTTTCAAAGTGGGTGCAGAAGCTACCTAGAAAGGAGAGTTCCCATCTTGCTAATGGTTATGTAGCTCTCTCCTTGGAAGAAACTTGCAATGCCAGGACGAAGAAGCTGCCTTCAGGCAGAGGTTGAGGATCAATAATGTGTTTGCCAGGATCCTTGGACATGTCCAGGTGTGATTCATCCAGGTAAAAAGGACATCATTGCGCAGGTCAAGAACTTGTCCCGAGATAGCAGTATCACCTGCTGGATCTGGCTTTGCATCTGGGATATAGAACATGCTTTGGTCAGAGAGGTGATTCCAAGGCTCTAAGGGCTGCCCTAGCTGGGTGGGTGGCTGTGGCATTGATTGGCCTTTGGTGTCAGCCTTCTCTTCTTCCTTTCCCATCCCCCTTCCCCCTCGGCTTCTGCCTAGGGAGTCTGCCCTTGGGCAGAGATGTGGGACATAGCCTCAGTATATTGATTCAGGTGCCCTGGCAAGGGGGCTGAGCTTTGGGGCTGTGTACTCCGTCCATTCCCCTCTCTTCTCTGGAGCTGTTTACACTTTTCTCTTTGCCTTTTCTACATTTTTATATCTTCTTGGGGACTCAGGGATGAGCGAGATGGTGGGGCTCGGGGGGACCTAGTATCTAGACCGGAGTTGGGTCATTTGCTGGGAATGGAGGCAGTACAGCCACTTGGCAATTCTGCTCCTTCATCTAGAACCCCACAGAGTGCTATTTATATGGCTTAACCCTTCGCACTCCAGACTGACAGGCGGTGGATCAAGTATCTCCCATCATGGGCGGGGGACTTGTGGTGTGGCACACACTCCAGAAATCATCATTCTCTTACATCCCCAGAGTGTTTAGGTTGCTCTGGGACCCCTTGGGTCTACTGTGGGACCAATCTGAGTCTAGGAGCCCAGGGCTTTGATAGGGTGTTAAGAGACCTAAAGGGGAGGAGTGGAAAATGAGGCAGCTACTAGGGGACTGGACAGGTGATAAAACTGGACTCTGCCCTCCTATATCTCCCTTCTTCTGTAGGGACAAATTCCTCTATACCTCCAGTGTGCCACTCATTATGTAAATTCTTGGCAAACGGAGGCACCCTGGAAAGAAGGAAAGTCTAAGGAATCAATTCAGGTGCCATATCTCCATCCTCCCCTCTCCCTCTGCTCCCCACGGACCAGCCTTTATGGCAGTGCTCCTGGGTGTGTTATGTGGCTTGCTACTTTTGGGGAGATGCTCTTTCCAGTTGTCCTAGGCCCGGTCTAGAACAGAGATGGCCCATGAGGTCCTTCTGACTGTCCTCTGGAATCAGGGGGCTTGGGATGGTTGTCTCCCTGTTCTGTAACTACCCCCTTCCACCAAGCACATGGTAGATCTGATCTAGCTGTCTCCTCTGGGGTTGGATGGTTTGGAGAAGAAAGGGAGACAATTACTCTAATAACAAATCTTGGGGGGCATGCAGGAGTGGGTTTAGCCATCAGATTTACCTGTATGACAATTCCTGGAAAACCAAAAGGTATTTGAGCGTCAGTGATCAGACTCACTGAGGCATCAACAGGAGGAGTACATTTCCAGGTGCTTCAGTGTACCGTGTACCTCCTCTCCCACCTTAGCCTCCCCTGCTGTTACTCTCCTAAAAACTAGTCTTCCATCCCTCCTCTCCAGCCAGGATCCAGTGTTTCTCCTTGCCCAGCTTATCTTCGAGAAATATATCATTCCCTTTTTGTTCTAGACCAAGTCTACATCTCTGTCCCTGAGCCCATTATGGATATATGATCCTTTGGGTCCCCTAGGGAGGGAGAGGCCCACTCTACCACTCTACGTGAAGTCCGTTTCCTGCAGTTCCTTTCTAGTAGAGGCCATTGGGAAGGGAATCAAGAGGCTGAAGGCTCAAGCCTTCCTTTTGGCGAAACCATGCAGGGTGGGTGGGGGGGAATTCCAAAATAAGGGCAAATTGATGGGATCACCTCTAGAAAAAGAATTACCTGCTCAGGGATGCTAGAAAGGGATCATTGCAGGCCAAAGGGCAGGAAAGGTATCTGCCATTCCGACAAGCACCACCACTCCCGCCCCTACCATCATAAAGGAGGAGACATAGGGAGATAGACTGGGGGAGGATCTGCCCCTTGATTTTGCCTGGGGGGGAATGCATGAGGGGTTAATTATAGACTTTTTGTAGGGGGGAGGGGCATGTGCAGAAGGGAGGATGTTTGGGGTGGGGTGCTGGGGTGCTTTTCTTTGGGGGACCAGATCTTACAGCACGTTTTGCAGCAGCTGGGGGCTGTTTTTTTATATTGTGAATGAAATTGCTCTTGCTAATGATGGGGAGGGAGTGGGGCATTTTTAATCAATATTCACTTTACTCAACCAGGAAAAACCTACACCTTCATTCACCACTTCACCCCCACCCCTCCTCCTCATCCTTCCATGAAGGAGGGAGTCTTCCTGGGCATGTCTGGGGGGTGGGCAGGAAATAAGGACCTTATTCCATATACAAACACATCCTACACTTTCTGTCTTCCAGCTCTGGGGAACACGCATTTTGTGGCCAGTTTTTCTTTGCATGTTTTCTTAATGTGACTACCCCTCCAACCCCAAGAGAGATTCTGTGACATATATCAAAGAGAGAATTATATATATATATATATATATATATGATATTGCAGATTATATAAACTTAGACTTACTTCAGTATTGAAGTATATATATATATATATGGGCAAGGGGTAGGAGTGGATATCCTACCCTCTGCCTTCCGCATTCCTGCCTCAGCCCTCTCTCCCTTAGGGAGAGGGGGCTGCATTTTGCATTTTGCAGCCCCTTCTCTATACTAGGGAGGTAGAGGGAGTGGTGTTGGGGGCGGGCCAGGGGTCATGTTCACTGGCACTAAACAGGATGTGGTCTCATATTTTGACTCTGACTGTGTCTTATTTGACAAGGGTGGGGTGAGACGGAGAGAAGTCACCGGCTGAGGAAGGGGAACAACTAGACAGTCAAACTGAGAAGGAGCTGGAAGCAAGGGTGTCTGGGTTGACTTCTGGAGATAACCCAGGCATTAAGAAGAGCTGTGTGACTTTAGGCAAATCATTTAACCTCTTGAGCCTCCATTTTTTAATTTGAAAAAATGGGTTTGGGTGGGAGGGAATTGGACTGGAAGTCTTTGAATTCCTTTCCAGCTCTAATATTCAGTAGCTCCACAGCTGGGCTGGGTGGCTTCCAGTATAAAAGAAAACTAATGGATGATCCCTCTAAGATATCTTTGGGATGTGGCAAACTGAGGCGACTGTCCTGCTCTCTGCCCAAGGAAAATGTTAGGGGTGACTAGGCAGCTGATGCTGCAGAGGCTGTGGGTGGGGGAGAAATTGGTGGCTGTACCAGCTGGTGCTTAAAAACAACAACAAAAACCATGAAGCTCGGGCACATGACTGGGGGGACTGGTGCTGGCTGCCTGGCAACAACAGCCTCCTCCCCCCTTCTACAGACATCCCCCTGTACTGCATATAGCCCTTTTGTGGCATGTCTTTCTTCTTGAAGTCTGTCCTTGACATTCATTTTAACCAAATTTCATCTGAATAAAAAGTGTTGGCACCCAGTGTGGTCTGCTCTGCACTCCCCTAGGGACAGTCTTGACTAGAGGTCCTCAGTAAATTTTTTAGTGTTATTCCTCCTTTCCCCTTACTCCCCTGAGAGCTAGTTAATTCCCTCCCACTCTGCACCCTCTGCCAAGATGCTCTTTCTTTGCCCAATCCGTCACATAAAATGCACCATCTACACCCCCATTCCTACTTGGATCCCAATGGGAGGCAGGTGGGATCAAGTGCAAAGAGAATGGGGAAAGAAAAGTGGGTATCAGGAAGGCGCTAACAACAGATGGAATTCTGCAGTTTGCAGGTTTATTGGGAGGATCCCAAAGGTGGCCCCTCTCCCTAATCCTTCAACAGGGAGCTTGAAAGAACCTCTACCATTCCAGGCCCCTTCAGCCTGGCCTCAAGGAAACTGAAGCACAGACAGATGTGGGGAGGGGGAAAGATAAGAAGATCTTGGGGTCAAGACCACCTGGCCAGGACTCACGTGGGGACAATGGTGACTGGGGCACTGATCATGGTTATTCCCTGACCAGGTTATGACTCCTCCTCTAAGACTATTATACCTTCATTAGAGAACACAGGGCCCTTCCTTAGGGGTATCCCTTCATTACAAATGGGGAGGTTACTAAGTCAGGTATCAAAGGGTCAGTTCATCCTCATCCTCTTCATCAGTAGATCGAAGGCTGGGGCCTTGTAAAATGTCAGCCAGGTCTTCTTCTGGCCCAGAGGTTCCCCCTAGCTCCAGCTCCTCTAGTTCCCCCTCTGCACGGGGAAGGGCTGGGGAGGCAGGGGGGATAGGGGAAGATGACTCTAGAGGTTCAGGATAGGCTGGAACCATCATGCCCTCCATATCACCACCCTCAGTGCTGTCTTCTGGAAGGCTCCAACCATCAGAGGGTGGTGGTGGCCCCCCTGGGGTCTTTCGGGTAGTAGTAGTATTCCGGAAACTCGCAAGGGGGGGTCGAAGCTGGACTCCTGACTTGGTGTGCCCTTCAATGGCCTTCTGTAACTAGAGAGTGGTAGGATATGAGAGAGGGAAAAGGACATGGAACAACAGATGGATGGAAGAGCAGTGACAGGGAAAGGGAAATGGGAAAAAAAAAAGAAAGAAAAAAAAATAACAGAGTAAAGACCAATAGGGCAGAAATCAAGGGAGAAGAGCAAATCATGGATGGCAAGAGGAACGGAGTGAACCAACCAATACTCCGTACCTACAATCTTCCCTTTTACCCCTTCCCTAATTAATATCAGTCCTCCCTATCACTCCTCATCATTCCCTCTCTCCCTTCCCCCTTGACTGAAGCTGGGACCTAAGTCATCTCCCCAACCATTGTCCTACGAATATGTCAGAGCATCTCTAGAATGAGGAACTCTGCCCCCTTCAGGACCATAGCCATAGAACAAGAGCCAGAGTCTCTATCAGGGCTCCCGCCTGATCTCAGCATTGGAAGTGGAGGAGGTTAAGCTCCCTGGGGAGGCACAGGAAGAAAAAAGAGGAAAAAAAATATGCCCAAAGGAACTTGATAGAGCATTGGCACCTCACCTGTCCTCAGCATCCTGTTCTCTATGTCCCCCAACCCAGATTCTGTGCCTCATCCCATTCAGAAGGAGATAGGATACATGTCACCATTACCTCTTCCAAAGCCAGTACACCCCGGAGTTTCCCCATGCTGGTCACATAGGCAAGATGGAGGCCAAGTAGTGAGAACAGCGTATGAGTCTGGGTGGAAGGATCAGAGAATTAGGGTCAAGCCAATGGCATGGCAGCCCTCTACACCTCCCACCAAAGACTCAAAAGCTATAACTGCTTTCCCAGTTTGCCTGCACCTCCCCCTCCCCCACCAAATGAATGATTCTGCCATTTTCATCCAGGGCTGAGAAGTCACATTGGGAACCAAAGAAAGAAGGGAGGTATTAGGGTTTAACTTTGTGCAAAGATGTCCGCTCCACCAACTGGAAGGGAGAGGTATCTATGCAGCAGGAATCAAAGCAGACAGGCTGGTTCAGCTGCTCCTGCTCCCAAGCTTCAATCTGTAGGGCCAGGAAGGAGAATAGGATGTCAGAGAGTCATCGTGGCAGCTCTGATTGCCACAGAGCTCCCTGATCTACCCCACAAAGAGCCTCCCTGGCCCCAGTATGCAGCTTCCTATCTCACACAACCATCACCATCAAATTTACTGTTACTTAAACTCTTTCTGCACCTGGAGACCCCTCAAGAAAAATACTACCTTCCTTTCTTGCCTAGCAGCAGGTAGGTGGATCATGAATAGAACGCTGGGCCCAGAGTCAGGAAGACCTGAGTTCAAATCCAGCTTCAGACACTTACTATCTGTGTAACTGGTCAACTCACTCAACTGCCATTTGCCTCAGCTTCCTCAACTGTAAAATGGGGATAATAATAGCACCTACTTCATAGGGTTGTTGTATGGCTCAAATGAGATATTCAGAAAGGGTTTAGCACAGTGCTTGGCACATAGCAGGCATTTAATAGAATGCTGATTCCCTCTTCCCTTCCCCTATCCCCCCCCCACCCCATTCATTACTCAAGAACTACTAAACAAAGCTCACACATGATTACCTCCTTTCTGCCTCTACAGAGTCCCTTCCAACCCCTAGAACCTGCCTTATCATTGTGGGGCAGCAAAAATAGTGATGGTCTTGGAATCATAGGACCTGCGTTTGAATTCTGTCTCTGCCATTTACTAGCTGTGTGACCTTGGAAAAGTCACTAAACTTCTTTGGGTCTCAGTTTCCTCATCTGTAAAATGAGGAACTTGGATGAGATGACCTTTAAAGTCCCTTCTAATTCTAGATCTACGATCTGAAGGAAAACAAATAAAGAAACATGAGACTCTCATAGACTTCTCCCTGAAACCATGGAACCAAGCTCTCCTAAAACCATAAAGAATGACATACTGGGTCACCCTTCATCCTAGCCCATGTTCTTATGTCTCTGACAGTAGCATATGTATGTGCATGTGTATCAGAAAGCTGTTAGATTGCGCTTCTTCCTTATTTAGATAATTCATTATGGATCTGCCTATGAATTTATCTGAAGCTCGGCAGTGTGAAGGAGTGGATACTTCTGATCTTTGAGTCACAGTCATCAGGGTTCAAGTCTTACCTCTACAGCCCAGAAAAAGTCACTAAACCTCTCTCTCATTGAACCTGGAAACTCTCTAAGTCTATAGGTTACAGGGCAGATGCTGACCTACCTTGGTAGAGGGAGCTCTCTAAAACAATGAAATTGTAGGCTGGATCTATGTGTGTGCTTGCATACATATATGTATAGCAGAAAATTAGAATGTATATATAAATATAAAATGTATATATGTGACAATATGTATAGAAAAAATTAGAATGTATACATATGAATATATAATATTACATAATATATATTATATATTATTTATATAATATAAAATATAGACTATATTATATATGTGTGTATACACATGTATAAGAGAAAATTAGAATGTATATAAATGAACATATAGAATGTATATACATATGTGTGTGTATATATATAGAATGTATACACATTTGTGTAAGAGAAAATTAGAATGTGTATATATGAATATAAATATAAAATCTGTATATATACATATATATACATATGCACATATATACACACACGTATATTATTATACGCATACACCATACACACAGCCAGTATTATCTGTTAGGGGTAAGAAACTCCTAAAGTTCGCTATCCTCTGAGTGAAATCAGATATCATATTGTTTGCCCTAAACAATCTCATTCAAGCTTCTGGGGATGCCTCCAATATCTAGTATACATAAGGATTTGTTAAGCAAGGCCTTGTTCACCCAGCAACACAGAATTTGACACAGAACCTAGTTCAACTCATGCACTAAAGGAAATTCCATGCTAAAATATGCCCCAGTAGAATGGCACCCTATCTGGTTCCTTGATGATTTAACAAGATTTGTACTGTATCACTCTAAGTCTTCTTTTCCAATTGAAGAATTCTAGACTGGTAGTGGGTCCCCCTTGGAAACCCCTGCCCCTTCTATTATATCTGTCTTGCAGTGTGATGACCAAAAGTACACATGAGATTCCAGGTAGTAATTCAACATCTATCCAAGGGTTCACCAAACATTTATAACATGAATTCTATGGCAAGGCATTGTATGCATAGGCACCAAGGGTGTGAAGGTTGCAAATGACCCCTTGCCTAGCGGCCTATGTAGTGCACCTCCCAGTACTGTTGTGGAGATAAAATGAGATAACATTTGTAAAGCAATTTTAAAACCTTATGACATATAAAGGTTAGCCATCGTTACTCGTAATCTTGGAGTTCTCTAAATATTAAGCTATCCTGATCAATTATTAAAATGTGGAATAAGATTGGCTATAGAACTGATCCCTGGTCACTTACAATGGATTGTTTCAAAATTCCTAAATGAAAGTTATTCTTGTGGTCCCTGTGATTTACCTGTTTCGTTTGCTAATTTTGTCAGGAATACCTTTTGCATTTACAGCTGCTTGTGACAGTCCCTTCTACTTGTCCCTTTCAAGAGCCACTCTGAGAATGGGAATCTCCTTAACATTGTCTTGAGGAAAATCTACCTGTTGAGAATTCATTCTCTATCTACTATCTTCTGTCATCTCTTGGTGAACCTTCTGCATTATGATCATTGAGCTGTTGCACTCTCTACTGGGCTACTTCTCTTTGGGGTATTCAAAGGGAGGAAGGTGATGGGGCAACAAGCATTCATTAAGCAGCTGCTACACGCTAGGTACTTTGCTAGGCACTTTATAAACATTATCTTGAAGGGTTTGTTATTGGTTTTTTGAGTCATTTGAAAAGTGTTCGTCATTTATGTTTGGGCCAGCTGTTTTTCTAGTTTGGGCCTGATGATGGATTCATAAAGAGGCAATTCTAGAACCCATTTTTATATATTGGCATGCCACTCCATCCAAATAAGGAACTATTCTCCTCCTTTGAGTTTATTCTTTAGGGGAAGATGTCTTTTCCCCTATTAGTCATCCATAGCTCATCCCTCCCCCAAACCAAACACTTGATATTTTGATCCTCAAACCTGTTTATTATGGGCTTCCAAGAAATTGTTTTTAAACAATACAATTCCTATAGGCTACCTGTTTAAACTCTCCTTTTTCATTTTTTTTCTATTGCCCGAATTTTGTTATAGTTCCTTTTTTTCTTCCTAAAACTGAATAACCGAATGATAGATTTTTTTTTTTAATCATTCTGTCTCTCACCAGGATGTTGAATTCCATTGTGCTATTATCACTCACCCACAGTTACCTCCTGCCCCAGTTCTCGTTCACTATTCAGGACCAAGTCCAATATATAAGTGGATTCTAGGACTACTTCTCCCTCTAAGCCATCATTTGTTCTGTCCAAAAGCCTCTGCTCACATCCCCTCCTGGTGAGGTGTTCCACCAGGCTGTGTTTGGGCAATTCAAGTCCCCCTTTATTATTACCCGGCCTGATTTTTCAGCTCCCTACAATCTTAACTCTTCCTGAACTAAATAAAACACAACAAAATAATACAGCTTGGTCTAACTGGAAAGACCACTAGTTTTCAGTCACAACAAATTATTTGAGTCACAGCTCTGACACTTGCTAGTATTAATCTGGGCAAGTCAACTTAACATCTCTGAGTCCTAGACTTCCTCATCTTTAAGGAGGAGGTAGCATTATTTGCACCTTCTATCTCACAGGGTTTTTGTCCATAAAACACTTTGTAAACCTTCAAATGCTATAACAATCTGTGGCTTGCAGTCAGTGAAGAAGGCTTGAGAAAGATAGGACAAAGTAAGAAAAATTAATCTGGAAGACAAATGGAGACAGCTTTCTGACTGGAACTGAAAAATGGCCATTATAAGAAAAAAAGCGTAGCAGTGAAAGTTTAGGATAAAATAAATATTTTCCTGTCCTGTTCTTTTTCAGTCAGTTCATAATGTCAGTTTACCTATTTTCAGAAAGGCCTGGGCATCTAGTTGGTATTCTGTGCCATTCCTATATTTTCAGTCACCTCAGGGCTAGGCAATTGCATAGTCATTAAGCTAAGTACCATACTACTAGACAAGATTACTAATATATAGATGGGGCACATGAGTTTTCTCTGGACTCAAAAAATTACTTTCCTGGAAGCTATTCCAGGCTATGCTCAAGCAAAATAGTGTTTGCTTTTGTTGCTTGGCATCGGCAACATGCACAGGGTCTGAAGAAGGGCCATGGGTGGCAGCTGCCCTATTCCCACTAGAAGTAGCATCCCAAGTATTTCAAGAATGAATTGTGCTAAGTGACAAGAAAGAGTGGTGATAGTGGACAAGGTGAGATGGAAGAATAGAAGGGAGCTGTGACCTTCTCAGGGGCATCGACCCCACCTATTTCTTGACCCAGCTACCCAAAAAATGACTCCTAGAAATGGGTAGTGCTATAAATAGAATCTGAATTAACTGAATTAGCTGTAAGTACAGGGAATAATGTACAAGAATCTGGTCTTATGCCAAGTGTGTGATTCCCTAATAGAAGATCCCATTATATAAAGTGTCTAGGAGCAAAAGACTACTGTACTGGCTACTGTCTTTTATTGCATCCTACAATACTAGTAGCTTTCATTTTAGGGTCTTCCCCCTAAGAGACAAAGTAACATCAAGTCTGAGAGCTAAGTAACCTACTTTGGTCTATATTCAAATTACCCAAACTTTTCACAATCTTCCCCTGTACCACAAAGAGTACTTATCCATGTCTCCCCCAGACCAGTCCCCTCCCCTTCACAGGCATCCCATCTGGAAATGATGGAGCAGCCTCCTTCCTCTCATCTGGCCAGGATGAGTTCCTCACTGCTATGGGAAGGGTAGAGAGAAGAAAGGGAAGGTTCTATGTTAAGTTAATCATGGGAATAGGACATATATGGACACTTTAATATTATTTTGTGAGGAAAAGCAGTTAGGTCATGCTTGGAGTCCCAATTCTAATTCTCTCAGCAATAAAAGAGCTATTTGCTTATCAAAAAAAAAAAGAAAGAAAGAAAGAAAGAAAAAGAAAGAAAAATAAGGGGATTGGACTTGACGACTTCTAAGGCCTAAATCTACGATCCAGTGATGTGTGCAATGGGAGTCCTGCCTTTACAAACAATGCATCTACACATCTTTGTCCCTTTCAGACAACTCCCCAGCCCTATGCCAATGGAATCTTGCCTCCATCTCCTGCTCTCCTATCCTCCCACCCCCATCCTGCATAGAATTTTAAATTTTCAAAGAAAGACCTTTCACATCTATTATCACCTTTGAGCCATACAGTAAACCCTGAGAAGTGCAAGAGGAGGTCCCTCTTGGAATTTGGGTGAAGAATAGCACACTTTCATTGTGTAAAGTGTTTTTTTTAAAACTGTAGTGATAACATTCCTGAAAATCATTCCCCAAGGACTACCTGGGAGGTGAATCACCAGAGACAGCTTGGGTGGCAGTGGACCATGGCAGTCGGCCAGCCAAGCCCTGGGGCTCTCAAAAGAGAACAAAGTAGGAAATTAGTCCTGGACCTGAGAGGTCTCTCTGGGCATTTGATATCATGAGAAGGATTTCCTGTGGCCCCGAAACAAGGCAGATGTTATTACCTTTGTTTTAAATAAAAGAAAATCAAGTCATAGGGAGGTTAGATGGTTAATGTTACTCAGTGACAACAGAACCCAAAACACAAAACACAAATCTCCTGATTCCCAGACTTTCCTTAACTTAACCATGATGGTTACTGCCTTACTCCTTATTGCTCACAAACAATTACTCCCCACATCCCTCCTCATTCAATTGATACCCACACCCCACACTTACCTCCTCAGGTGGCATATTGTCCACTAAGTTGATGGGATCCTGGAAGAGTCAAATTTGAGGTCACTGTCCCCTCTAGCCCCAGAGTGCCACCTAGCCAATATAAGTGCCACCTGTCCCCACTTCAAGGTCACAGAACCCTTCTTCCTAAGGGACAATACTACTCCCCCAAGTGCACCCTCCCTTCTGTGGATCTCCCTGAGATCTTCTCCCAGAATGTCCCTCAGAGATTTCCCTTACCTGTAGTGTCTTCTTCTCGGTGTGGAAGCCATTTCCCAGCAAGCAGCGAAGCAGAGACCGTAGGATGGGAAATCTTTGGCCTTAATAGAAGGAGTCGTGTGGGCCAGAGCAGGAGGGAATGATTCTTCCTGGAGCTTCCTCCTCCCCACTCTGATTAGTTAGGGTCCTTCCAGACAATGCTTGCAGATGGCCTTCTCTTAAAATCACTCCCTCCTTTTTCTCAACTGAGACATATTCCCTGATAGCCACACACAGGAAGACTCCATTTCCACTGGGGCAGGGGAAAGAGGCTGGGAGTAGCCACAGGAAGGTAGAGTTAAGAGACAGCTGTTTCTTACCGGTAGCATCCTGTGCTTCTGATTGCAGCTTCTGGTGGGGCAAAGGTCCATTGGGCTCCTCAGGGGACAAAGCAGCAGTTAAAGGGTGAGGAGAAGGAGGCAACTGTAAGATACAGCAAAGTTGGTTTCAGCAAGGAGACATGCACGCGCGCATGCGCGCGCGCGCACACACACACACACACACACACACACACACACACACACATCTTAGATGAATCCTAACCAATCTGTCCATACCTAGGGCCCACATATTTCCTCTGTCTTTCTTGTATCCCTCTGCACTCATCTCTTGCCACCATTTACAACCTAATCTTCTGATGAATGTTAAGTCTCAGAAATATCTGTGTTCCAGGCCCTAGGTCTAGAGAACCCTGATGAGTCTTGAGCCCCTAGTATCTTGGACCTCTCTCTCTCTCTTTCTTTCTTTCCTCCCCCCCTCTACTCTCCAATCACTGTTTCTCTGGTTGCCATGTCCCCTCACCCCCAGAACAGAAAGGGGAAAAAACAATCCTATTTCTTTAGCCCTGCAGATTGCTTTCACTTTGTCACAATCTCCCTATTCTCCACTCCCCACCCCCATGCCTCTCTAGTTAGGTCACCTCTGTCCTTCCAGTGATGTCCTCCTCCTCCTCCTCATCCACAAAGGCAAAGGACTGTGGCCGGCCCTGTGCTGAATGGTTCCTGGGGAGTTCCTGACCTGCCTGCTTCACCTGCCCATTGAAGGGCAGTTCTGCCAACTTCCTTGCCATCTCTTGGGCTTCCCGCAATCTTCGCTCAGGGCTCAAGTGACGTTGAAGTAGCGACTGCAGCTCTGATCGCTCCACTGAGCCCAGCAAGATCATCGAGTCTAGGGGACAGCCATGATCACCAGGAAGCCCTCCATAAGTCCAGCAATGTTATGTTAAAAGCAAAGGAAGCCCAGCAACTGCTCTTGTAAGCCAAGTTATGTCTGTTCCCTTCTAAAGGAAAAAACCAGCTCCAATAATTTTTCTGATTGATCCCATCCAACTCCAGTGCATACCATAGTGGAAAATGCACCTGATTTGGATAGACCAGAAGGTCCTGCAATCACGCCTTTGCCACTCAAGCACCTCTCTGGGCCTCAATTTTCATTTCACCCTCATTTCAGTTGGTATAAAATGTCTACACACTTTGAAAGTTGGTGTCCATGGTCTATAACCAATATAATACAATGATGACAACAATGTCAATAGAAAGAACAGCCACAAAACAATCCAAAATGAATGTTGTAAAATTACACAGAACAAGCATAGCCCCCAAAGAATAGATATGAGAAGACATTTCTCCATTCCTTTGCAGAGGAGGGAAGTCCACACGTGTGGTAGATGGTATATATTTGCAGACTTTTTTTGATGTACTGATTGAGTTTGCTGATTTTTTTTTTACTCTCCTTTTTTTTCAAATAAAAAAAGATTTTTGTTATATGGATGGCTCTCTGGGAAGAAGGAAAGAGATACTGGGAGAAATTCTGGTGACACAAAGAACAAAATATAAAATTTATTTTTAAAAAATAATAAGATTGGGGGCAGCTAGGTGGTGCAGTAGATAGAGTACCGGCCCTGAAGTCAGGAGGACCTCAGTTCAAATCCGGCCTCAGACCAAACACTTGACACTTACTAGCTGTGTGACCCTGGGCAAGTCACTTAACCCCAACTGCCTTAAAATAATAATAATAATAATGATAAGATTGGATCTATCAGCAAGACAAATGTGAAGTCACCAAACAATGAAATCCACTAGAAGACACTTGTGATGAATTCAGACTTTGAGAAGACAGCAGAACTATGCAAATATACATATCTTAGAATTCTAGAGTCATGGCTTTAGGGCTGGAAAAGACTTCAGAGGTGATCTAGTACAAAGCCTCATTTTATAAATAAGGAACTTGGTCCCAAAGATCTTAAATGCCTTATCCAATGTCATACAGTTAGCCAATGGCAGAGCTGAGATTGGCATGAACCTAGGCGCTCTGAGGTGAAATCCAGCAAACTCTCCACAGTGTAACACCGCCTGTCTTGGTATCATCTTCTTGTGTCTATATCCCAGCTTTAGACTTTTCTCCTAAATTTGGGCAATTTTCCTCCTTGTCAATTGAGGACATCCATAAGGAGAAAAGGCCATGTCTCTTCCATTATAACAAGTGTTCTCTGAGTGCATCCTCCCAGCCCAGTTCTTCCTTTAGGAATATACCTCTTTCCTTTTCCACTGACCTGTGGAGTCTACTAATGGTAAGGTCTTGACGGCAGTGGCCTGAAGCAAGGCTTGCAAGTCCCGGTAAGTGCAGGAGGCTGAAACAAACTTCACCTCACGAACCATAATGTCCTCAACGAAGATTGTGTATTTGCTGTTGAAGAAGAAGGCATAATGAGGGAGCTCTACGGCCCCATCTGTCAAGTTCCCATGCCCAGTCTATCAGATACCTTTCCTAACATGATCTCTCCCCCTCCTCCAAAGGGCTTTACCATCATAAAAATTTAAGACCTGGGCACCCTTCTCTTCAGTGAGAAAACCAGCAATCGCCTCAGCAAGTATGGAGAAATAGCACTAAGGTATATCTGAGCACAGGTCTCACCATCATTTATGTCCCCAAGTCTGGTACTGTGGGCTCTGGAGCAACATGAGCCAAAGACCAAGACTAATTAATAAATATTGGAGGCAGCCAGGTGGTACAGTGGGCCTGGACTCAGGAAGACCTGAATCCAAATCTGGCCTCAGACACTAGATGTGTGACCCTGGACAAGTCACTTAACCCTGTTTGCCTCAGTTTCCTCATCTGTCAAATGAAATGGAGAAGGAAATTGTAAACCACTCCAGTATCTTTGCCAAGAAAATCCCAAATAGGGTCACGGAGAGTCAGACACAGATGAAATGACTGAACAGCAACACAAAGACACTGAGCTAGCTTCCCTAGGCATCACAATGATAACACAAGGGAAGAAAGACTTTGGACCAAATATCAGGGTCCCCATAGTCACTCTGTACTTTCAAGCATCAACTAATCTCTCCCCCAGACTCCCTCCACTGACTGTTGCTATGCATTTTTCTCTACCACCATATACAGACCTACCTCCTTCCTAGTAAACCCTAGTTTTCATAAAACAGTGAAGCTGCCACTCTTCTCATTCATTCATGGCAACTCTAAAGTCCTGATGAAACCACTCTTGGGAATCTCCTGTGCAGAATACCAGGACTGCCTAGATTCTCTTCTGCTTCTAAATCCCACAGTGTTCCATTTTCCCAATGATAATGAAATCCCTTTCTCCATATCAGGCCTAATCCAATTCTGACCAAGATTAACTGGACAGGAAGGATTCTTCACCTACCCTCTGCTTCCCCCTCTCCCAGTACACCCCCCCCCACACACACACTTAGTCATTCTTCCTGACCTGAGCTGGTTCCAGCCTAGATCAGGCAAATATGGCAGCTTCTTGACTTGGATGATGCTGTCATAGAGTGAGGGCTGTAGGCTTTGGGCTACCATGTTGGCAAGGATCACAGCCACCATCATGGGCAGGATGTGGGCAATTTGGCCAGTCAGCTCAAAGCAGATTACTGCTGTGGAAACCGTGTGAGACACCGCACCAGTAAGTGCTGCTGCCCCTGGATTAGAAACATAGAGTTGTACCATGCTGGTCAATGCTGCCCAACTCTAGGAAGAACATGGCATTAATCCTCCCTTCTGCCCCTCCCCCTCAGTAGGGGAAGATATAAAATAGGTCACCTGGAGAATATGAAGAGTATACTGCAAGTATAGGACACTAAAGAAGACATGGAAAGGCATAGAAGTGGAAAATTATGAGAGGGAATTATGCAGGGGAAGAAGGAAGACATGTTAAGAGTCATCACTGCAGACATGGCAGGGGGTTATAAGGGACTAGCTAGTCACCAGGGAGGGACATAAGAAGGAGCAAAAGAGGGATGAACATGGCTACTGTGAAGGCCACAGTGCCTAGTATCTGTGTTCCTGAGGGAGGCCTGACCTTAGGCATTTTGGAAAGTGGGCACCATAGCTATGGAAATTGCATTGCCTTGATGAAGCAGAGAATTTTTAGCAATGGGAACTTTCATAGTATCATGGACTACGAAAACTGGTAATTATTTAGTCTAATCCACTTCTCCTCCTCCCCTCCATTTTGCATATGAGGAAACTAAAGCCCAGAAAATTTAATTGATGCTAGCCTGGAATAATGAAAAGAGTATTTAATTTAGAGTCAGAAGACCAGGATTCAAATCCCAGCTCAGCTTTTCCTGCCTTTGTGAGTCACTTAACCTCTTTTGGGTTCAGGTTACACATGTGTAAAAATGACTGGGTTGGACTGGATGACTTCCAAGGTCCTTTCCAGCCCCAAATCTATGATTGGTATGATCACAGTTAGTAAATAGCAGAGCCGAGACTTGAATTCTGGTCTCTTGACTCCAGGGGTCTAGATTTAGATGGGGGGGGGGAGAGGAGAAGGAGAAGAGACTCCACTGATAAAAATGTGTCCTCCTGGTTTAGAGGATTAAGTTATTTAGGATAATCTCATCAAAGATGGTACAGTGGGACTTTGGAAAAATTCTCACCAATGACAGTGAAGTCACTGGGTTAAAAGAACAAAGGAGACACGTGGAGAATGTCTCCCTTATTAGGACACAATCCCCAACTATGAGGAGCTGGAGAATTATTGTTCAATAATAGTTCCTGGATGAGGAGAGTGGAGGCGTCTAATTGCTAATGACACAGCCCTTGGGTTTAGTTTAGAGTACTTGATTGTGTGTGGAGGTGGAGGTGGGGAAAGCAGGATAGAAAAGAGAGAGTGAACAATCTCACCAATTACTGCATAGCCCCCAGGAAGAATCTTATAGATGATCCCATCAAATAGGATCCCATCAGGGAAGAGCATGGCCATGACTTCTCCCACCAGTCGCCCAAATGCTGCCCCTGGGTGAGAGATGGAGAGAGTAATTGAGCTGCACAGCATTAGAATCCTTCTAAGAGCCCCCAAACCCCTACCCCCCCAGATTTCCAGAATCAAGCCAACCCCTCCTCAGAGCCCAAAAGCTCAACCATACTCCCAGAACCCCTAAACCAAGTTTTCCATCACTCTCCCAGAACCCCAGTCTCCTGCAACCCTTTAAGGACTCACCCAGCACAAACACAGGCATGAAGCCCCCACAGGGGATGGGCATAGTAGTGGCCACAATGGACATCCAGAACTGGGTCAGACAGAGATATCAGAGCAGGGAGAAGGCAGCTCCCTCCCCCAGTGCTGAGACAGTCTTTTCCCTGGGTCCAGCCAAGCAGTTTCCCCCTTTACCACCCCCCTCCTCTGCCGCCAAATAAGTGCCCATTCTTAGTAGTCACAATTACTGTCTAAATTCTCAGGAAATTAATATATTCATATTCCTACCTCCAATCCTTATAGTTAGGTGATTGGGAAGGGGGGAGCAGGGAAAAAGAGTTATAGATTTAGGGACTCCTCAAGTGTCTGCTCTCTAATTCTGTACTTTCCTCCATTCCTCTGCCTTCCTTTCCCAACCCATCCCCGTCTTGCCCATCAGGAGGTTATTCCCAATATCTAATCATATTTCTTAGTTAAAGTGACTATATTTCCCACAGTCAATCAGGAACGGGACTAGGAGAAGGCATAAGAGGACCAGAGTTCCTTTCCCTTCCCAAAAGCCCTAAGATTAACCTCAGTCCTTAAGTGTCCCTTAAACCCAGAATGTTCATTACAGAAAAGCTGCTTGAAGCCTTTGGGTCTACCTTTATCCAGACCTATTCTATACTTCATGAGACAAGCTCTTAACTCCAGGGTATGAACAATCTGAATGACTTTGTGAATGATCATATAACCAACTTAGATTTGATATGGTCATTTGCTAAGCAGCAAACTATACTTCATAGCGTTCTCACAAGACATACATTTCCCTTGAAAATGGCTTACTCTTTAAAGTGCAGCAAAAGCCCTTACTCTTGCAACGTTCTGTCTTTTCAGGAAGGTGGGAGAATCAGATTGAACTACCATCCTTCATCCTGCCCCTACCCCATATTTCTGGGGTTCCAGACTGGGTATGACTGGAGGGTTGGGTGATCAGGACGGTTAAAAGAGCAAAGGAATGATACCTTCATGATAAAGAAGAAGAAGATGACTATGATGACGCTGACTTGGGGGTGGATCCAAACAGCTGAGCGGCCCAGACTCTGGGGGTCACCTGCATGTTTCACCCATGTGTGATTGTCAAACAAAGAACTGATGGCTTCTCGGGGCATAAGCTATTGATGAAGGAGGAGAGTTACACGGGGGAGGGGTCTCCAAAAAGTTAGCCCCTTTCTCTGGAAAACCACCTCCTTCTCCCAGGGAGCTAACCCACTGTTACTCAGGATCAAGGAAGATTTTTCCCTTGGGTAGTGACTGGAATGAGTGTCTAGGAACCCCCCGGGAAAAGGAATAACTATAGCCTGAGCCCCTAATCCTGAGCATATGCTTGGCTGGCTTTAGAGGCCCTTCCCCAGTTTCCCCATAGCTGACCTCTCCTGCCATGAACTGGCCCATCCCCGGGGGGAAAGTAAATGAGGCAATGATGAAAGTGACAATCCCTGGGTACAGTAGGAGGCTGCAAGAGAAACAGAACTGACACTTGCCCCCAACCCAGCCCCCTCCCAAGAACCCATTCCTCCACTTCACCCCAAGTCATAGAATTTGAGTTGGGAGGGTCTGGGTTACAAATGGAGATGGCCTGCAATCACAATTCCCTGACCAAAGAGTTTCTCTCCTCCCCAAAATGACTGCCTTCAAAAGGGACAGAGGTTATATAGGAACTGGGCTGGGGAAGACAGAAATGTCTCTTAGTTCTGCCCCTCCTCCCTCCCCCTTCCCTCCCTCAACCCTGAAAATTAAGTTCCTTCCTGGATAGAAATCCAAGTCCTGATGTGGAGGTGTATAATGCTCTCCAGAGACACTGATGGAGTGGCTTTTAGTGGGGGGTAAGGGATGGCAGAAAATGACCATGGTTTGAAGGTGGGCCTTTAGAAAGCAGTGACTCACTGCTTAGCAAGGAACTGGCTGAGAGCCTTGTGCTTTCGGACTCCCAGCATAACCTGTCGATGCAGATAGACAAACACAGCACCCAAGAACCCACAGCAGATCCTGGGAGGAGACATGAAATTAGGTAGATGAAACCTGACTAAAAGGATCAAAGGATTATAACATTGCCCCAACCTCCAAAGGGAAGAGGAATCAGACTTCCCTCTCAAAGCCCTCCCCACCGCGGCCCTACCCTCCTCCTGCACTGACCTGCCTCTTCCTCAGTTTATGTCCTCACTATCCCCCTCCTTACTCCCTCCCCCAATTAGCCACACTGACCCAATGATGGCAAAGGCAGGAAGCTCCTGTAGGTCAAAGGGAAAATCCATTCGGAAGTTGGTTCTGAACAGAGCTGTGATGGTAACTGCAGGGGGAACAGGGAAAGGGAGAGATGATACAAAAACTGAAGAGATAGGATGATGGTCAGTGTCAAGGTCGGTGTCAGTGTAGGCACTTCCTAATTTCTTTATGCCTCCTTCATACTGTAATCTACAGACTCTCATCTCCCCTTCTTATCACCTTTCTCTATGCCCTTATCTCCCAAATTTATGAGTTCTTTTTTCTTTATCATTACCAACATATTTGTCCCACATATATGCCACACAAGACTTCCCTGGCTCCCCCACCCCATTGTCAGCATCCATGTTCTATACACTAACTCCACAGACTTTCCACCCTCCCTTCACGCCTATTACCAGCATCTTTGTTCCACACTGCCAGGACACGGAAGACAAAGGCACTGAATGTAGCTGCAAAGAATCCTCGCCAGTAATTCCGGACAGCAAAATACGTGGAAGTAACTTCAATGCTAAATAGCACTCCTATTGAGTCATGGGGTCCAGAGTCAGCCCAGGGCAAAAACGATCTGACAATCTCTACCCAGAGCCCGAAGGATTTTCTGATGTAAATATGGATATTAAGCGGGGAGGAGGGAGCAGCAGCTTCTACCAACCCTAGGGCTCCTAGCTCTATGCCAAGCCATGCTGAAATTCTACAAATCACAGCCATGGTACTACCCAAAATGGAAGACTGGTGTGAACAGAATATGGGGGTAACAGCAGCTGTGGACCCCATCTTTCAACACTCAGGAAGGATAGAAGTCATGTATACCGTGTGGCCATGACCACACTTAGGTACTGAGGGCCACTCACTCATTTAGAGGCATACAATACTTTCCCCCCAATTCAGTTACATTCTTCATGCTATTTCTCACAATAACGTTCTACTTATGCTCCTGAATGCAGTGGGAGTGGTGAGGAAGGAAGAAAGGGAATGAGAATTTTCTTAACCAATCTACCCCCTTCCCCCAATCTTGGGGTTTCCATGTTGGTCTGACAGAAACAGCTAGATAAATTCTCCAGTGAAGTGGTAAGGTTCTTTGAGATACACACATGCCCTGAACAGAATTATAAAGCCAGAGTTCTAGAGTTATGGGGATTCTACTAAAGGCAGCCACTGGGCACAAGGCTCAAAGCATCACGGGGGCAGCTGTCTAGGGCAGAAGTTTGATGAAATGATTAGGAAGACTCTTCTTTTTTATATAAACATTAAGGTGGTTTTCTTTAAGGTGACCAGATAGTGAAAGTTCCAGACTCTGAATAAAGGAGATAGAGAAGAGATGAGAGGAATGAAAAGGAGAACAGCTGAGGAAAGAGGGGAGGGGAGGGAAAAGAAGAGGAAGAGAGGGTCAGAGAGGAGAAAAGAGGGGTGAAGAGGGAAGAAGAAGAGAGGAAAGGAAAAAAAACATTTCAAGAATTAGCTGAAAAAGCTCTTTGGCAGGGAAGTCAGGGTCAAAGGAGTATGGGAGAGGTGAATACCACAGACAAGCCCATGCCTGTGTCAAAGAAAGGTGGGGCTTGCGGGACAAAAGTTAGGTATCTAATCCCAGGGTAGGAATACTAGCAAGAGTGGAGATAGGAACAAAAACCAAACAAAACACAAGGGTTGGTGGGGAAAATGTAAGAGAAGCTGATGATGCTGGCATAAGATGCAATTTACAGAAGCTATGACAGGATATTTTTTTAATCTATAAATGGCAAAGATGAAAGAAGATGCCGGTCCCTGATGAGATGAATTGAGAGCAAACTCATAATAGAGACACCAAAGAGGCCTTCTTAGTGTTTGTTTTTCATTTTAATTTCATCTTTATCAAAACAGTGAACTGAGACCCTAGACAAACAGGGTGGGTAGGAAACACGGCTAGCCCTAAAAAAAACTTGTGATTCAGAGGGTAAAGTCTGAGAGAGGAAGACATTATATTAGGCTTGGTAAACTCTAAAGCACTTCAGAAATGGGAACTACCAAACATCCTGCTTTTCACCCTCTACACTGGTAACCAGTGCCCAGGTTAGCAACTCCCCAAGGCCCCTACTTGGTTTAGTTCCTTCAAGCAACACCAGTTACTTTTTAACTGCTCATTCCTCTTTTCTCCCCCTGCCCACCTCCTCCTTCAGACTACCTGACTTTGACAGGTGACAGCTAGCTAATAAATAATTTTTGTGAAGAGGACAGAGTCTTCATGTTTTACCCCTTCTCAAGTAACATAATAGGATTTTAACAAAGTAAGCTGATGGAAAAGCATTGGAATTTGAGTCACTGGAATGTGACCCAAGATCAAATCCTGGCTCTACTGTTTACTTATCTCTGTGATTATGGGTGAATTACTCTTTGCTCAAGTTTCCCTCTCTAGGCCTCGTTTTCCTCATCTGCAAAAGGAGAGGAATATCTCTAATAAGGTCTGTCCAGCCTTAAAAATCTATTGAATCTAGGGGTAGAAATGTCAGTTTCCAGGCAGGTCAGTGGTCTATCATGGTATAGATGGCAATTTGCATGGCATGGTACATAGGGTGTTGGACTTGAAGTCAGGAAGAGCTGATCTGAAGTCAGGAAGAGCTGATACCTAGGAGTTCTGTGTCTATGGACAAGTTTCTTAGTCTCCCTGGGCCTCAGTTTCCTTATTTGCAAAATGAAAGGGTTGGACTAAGTGGTCCCAAAGATCCCTTCCAGGTCAAAATTTCCTATGGAATTTCAAATGGAAGCCATTGCCCAGTGCATATAGCCATAGAATGGTGCTCTTGAGAAATCAGGTGAAGCAAGTTCCTCTTCTTTCCTTTATTGGCAATGAAGGATAGCCCACTTCTAATGGTCAAACTACAAACTGACAGATTCCTTGGTCATGTTTGGTCAATAAATCATCCTGGATGACATCCTTTTCCTAAGCTTACTTCTGGGACACTTCCCCTGCTGTCAGTCAGTGTGTTCATTCAGGACATGAAAACTAAGTTTAACATTAGCCTAAACTGATTATAATTAGAAATGAGCTCCCAAAGCATAACAAACAGGAAATGGTTTGGGAATCACTCACCATTTGGGATTATCTGGCCACTTTTTTCCTACTTTTATCTAAGAATTCAAGAGATGACATATCTGGGGGGGGTGCGAGCGCACGCGCACGTGCTCGTGTGTGTGTGTGTGTGTGTGTGTGTGTGTGTGTGTGTGTATTCTAAGTCTGATTTTTTTTTTCTCATTAGAGCATTAGTGATGTCATCTGTATCTGTGTTCATTTTAGGGCCATGAGGCACCTAAGCATGCTTCTCAAAGTTGACAGTTGGATGCCTCCAATATCCTAGGCTAGGAATAGCTTGCTGCAGTCTGTGTCTCTCCTATGGGCTGGGTCTTTGCCATGTACTAATCTACAGGAAGGAAAAGAACATTCCTTGCTCATTCCAGTGGGGGAGGGGAAAGAAAGAGGCAGGGATCCTTATGCTAAAATTAAGAGTTCTCATTAAAAGGTAAATCTTTTTGTTTCATAGGAATTCAGCTGATTTACCAGTTAAAAGAAAACCACTATAACAACAAACCAAGAAATTCCATTCCAAAAATATTCTTTGGGCTCAGTAGATAGCTAAAAAATGAATAAAGGCTCATGTGGGGATAACAGCAGTGTTGGATTCTAAAGGACTTAGGAAATTCAGATTCACTGATAGACACTAATAACTACAATGATTGAAGCTGACAACAGAAATGCAAACAGAACCTTAATTAATGAATTTATGCCCTCTGGACATTAAATAGTCCCTTTTAGTATAGAATTTTGTTTTTAGTATGACAAATTTGATTCAATAGTTATTTATTAAGGCCCTACCATGTGCAAAGCACTATGAGAGGCAACATGATATATATATATATATATATATATATATATATAATATATATATATATATATATATATTATAGTGGATCGAGACAGTCTCAGAGCGAAAAAGGTCTAGGTTCACCTATGACATGCACTGGGTAGTCATTTATGGTCTGTGGGGGTCTCAGACAACTCTCTAGGACCATAAGGTGCAGAAAAGTCCCAGATTTGCATTGCTAGAGAGATTTTCTTTGAAGGAAGCTCCCTACACTGATAAAATCATGAACCTGAACCAGAAAAAAACATGTACAAAAGACTCTGTAGGCCCTGGGAGGGGCACGCAGATACATGACACATATCTTTGTACTTGCCTGGTATTTCATATCCTATTATTCCCATGTGAGCCTTTATTTATTCTTTAACACTGTATCCAGTGGGCCTAGAGAATATTTTTGAATTAGAATTGGTCAAATTGTGTACAGATACACAAACACATACATATTTGTCAGTCTCTTGAAGCTTTTGTCTTTAGCATTCTTCTCCTGATCCAGGTCACCTTAGCCATCATAACCTTGGGAATACTGGCTCCTTGAGTGAAAGCACTGATTTCATTTGCATAATGGAAAAGATGCCTCACACTGCTGACATTTTAGATGTACAATGTGAGAGCTGGAAGGGATCTTAGAGATTCACTTAGTCCAATGCCTCATCCTTAGGGAATATGTATCTTTTTTTTTTTCTCCACTGTTTTGTTCCTCCAACTTAGTATTGTTTTATCACTGTCTTGCAGCCCTGTCCTCTCTTCTTTGAAATTACAAGTAAAAATCTTACTGGAAAGAATAATTTTCCAAAGAAATGTTCAGTCTAATAAAGTCTGTTTTCCCCTGTCCAATGAGATGCCTTTGGTTCTGATTACTACTAAGAGTGTACACTGGGCAAACTTATTCAAGTACTTTTATTTCTTTGTCTGGGCCTTATTGATTAATCTGTTACTCATTATAAAGAAAATGTGAATGAGTATTGCTTGCCTAATAGGTAAGGAGAGAGCTAACCCCAGCTCTGGAACTCACAGTTACCTTTCACTCTTCAACTGAGATGACTCAATCACTTAAGCAAAGACCACCTAAATTCCTAAATTCTAAAAACAAAATGCAAAGCAATTTGGGAGCTTCCAGCAAAGGGGTTAAGTTACTTGGTCCAGTCTTGGCACCCCAACAATAATTCCCTGCTGCCCAGGAAGCCAGAGCAGGATTCTGGGCAGGGACACAGAACATCACTTTGGGCTGCTCCCCTTCTTGCCCATCAGTCTAAAGAACATTTGTCCAAAAGTAGGGTAGGAAAATCCAGCTTCATTCCTGAGCATTACTGGTGAAAACTTTCAGAGGATGAAAAGAAACATCTAGACAAGGACCAAAGAAACCAGTGTCTATACTTGAAAAGAAGAAAGGATGATGACTCTGGATACCTGAGGAGAACCTAATGGAGCACTGCATTTCTGGCTTTGTGTATTTAAAAGGTTCATAAAGAAGCTAATGATCAGCTGCTTTTCCCTGGCTACTGATGACAAAACAGGATTTATATTGAAGCAAAGAGGAACTGAGGTTAGGTAGAAAGAGGAACTTCCTGTTAGCAAGAGGGTGTGAGTCATTAAAAAGCTGGCAAAGTTCCCTAGAGGATAAGCAATATAATAGCAGTTCTAAGAATAATTGTTATGGCTAGAAGCAGGGGGATGGAATTGTTGACTTTTAAAAGGCAGCATGGGGCAGGAGACTAGGGAGAAACCGGGACAGGGGACCCTGCAGGAAGGACATGTGTAGTGTCTTTGGTCTTGCCAACATCTAGTGTGTACACATACTATACAGCTTTAGGTATGTGTGTATGTGTGTGTGTGTATGTGTGTGTATACACACACACACATATACACACACACACACACACTATATGTCACATATAGTATGTATACACACGCTTACACCTCCCCCACCACCCATGTATACATATAATTTCCTAACACTGGTGGTAACAGAACAAGGGAAAGGAAGTTGGAAACTCGGGTTAGAAAGGGAATGGGGGAATTGGTCAGTATATCAGCAATCACTTGCCTCCAAGCGGTGTCCCAAAGCAACAGCCGACTCCGACGGCACAGCCCACCGTCAGGATATCAGCGTAATAGTATGGCTGCTACTAGGGAAGAGACAGGTGAAGGGATGGATAGGAGAGATAAGAGAGATGGACAGACAGACAGAGAGGGAGAAAACACCATTCGGTGAGGAACAGGGCTGAGTCATGAGGCTGAAGTTGGTTATGGTGACCCCATCTCCACGACCCCTGAAACTTTACTGCCCCAGATGGGGAAAAAAAATCATCTGATTTGACAAACAGGAAGTGACCTCTCATGGCATTCCGCCAGAAACAGGAAAACATGTAAAAGTTCAGAAAGCCTAGACAGACAAGGTAGTCAATCTGTGATGACCAATAATTCCCATTAGCTTCACCCGGATAAACCAGGTCCAGCCAGAACAGGAATTAACATTAGAGAGACATACAGTGACTTCAAATAGGGCCAGCACCCTTGGGTTTATGACAAATAGGAAGCAACTTCACAATGCCCCTTAGGAAACACTCTCCTTGGCTGGAAGTGCTGATGCCTGGCCAGAGGTCCAGGTTTACTCTCTGAATGGCTAATTCGGGTCCTTACCCAATCCTTGCTATGGAAATCAAGGCCTTCAGTATGTCATTCTCTGTGCCTTGCCCCTAAAGCCACACCCCTTCCACCACCCCAAATCTTGCTTAAGCAATGCAATCAGGGTAAGGGAGGAAGTAAAACTTGCCTCCAATGGGGGCCGCAAAGCAGCATCCCACGCCCACTGCACAGGCTGACACCAGGAGATCAAGCTGCTCAGGCCCGGTCTGCAACAGAGAAGCAGGCAGGACAGGGCAGGAGAGGGGAGAAGGACCAATATGGGGGAGGGTCCACAAAGGGGTGGCATTAGCATGGGAGGGAAGCAGGGTGGGGCTGTGAAGGGGCAGCACAGAGGGACAATATAGGGAAGAAAAAGGTGTTGTTGGGAAGTGACATGGCAAGGGATCATAAGAAAGAGAGAACAGTTATGGGGACAGGCACAGGCTAGGGCAGAGGGAGAATATGATAGTTCCAAGGACCACGGATTTTGAGGGTTAAGGCCTGGGTTAGTGCATTGCCCCTTCCTCCCTCCCCACAATATCCCACCTAGCATCACGGCCAGCTCAGAGCAAAGGCAATACTTCCCTTCCCCTCTCCCCCAATATTTATCTGGCCCCATTATAGCAGCTAGCCCAACTCCCTTTTCCCAAGCTGACCTCTTCCTCATCCTACCTCCCAGTCCTTACCTCATACACACCACAGAACATAGACATGAACTTGCTTAGAACAGCAGCACAGATGCTGGCAATGTGCACAAATGGGCCCTAGGGGAGAACCAAGAAGAAGAGGGAGGGAGATGTTCAGAGGTTAATGTTGGACAGCTATCCAGTGCCTATGAATTCCAATCTCAGCTTATTCCCCATGTTTCTCATTATACCTCATGTCCTTATGACACCACTCCAGTTAGGTCCTTTTTGTCTCTCTGCCACCCCCTCACAGCTCTCTGCTAGTTCTTACCCTACTATCAATTGTGCTTACCTCTTTGCCCACAGGGATACCACTTCCTAGACCAGCAGTCAGTGCAATGACTTTGGCCACAAAGGCCTTGAGAGTGAGATATTCCTTTAGAACTACCCCACGAAGAATGGTCTTCATCTCAGGAATCCCAGAGCCTATACATGGAGAGGGACAAGGCTGACCCAGAGATCTGAAGGGGATATGCTAGCCAGAAGAAAAAAATAAGGGTAGGGGAGTCTAGTCATGAGGGACCAGTGGAAGCTAGTATGAAATAGGAGGGAAAGAGTCAAAAATAGATTCAGGGAGACTGCAGAATGAGCTTTCAGGAATGGGGAGAAGGAAAAGTTCTTATTGATGGCCTACAGATCAATGGGGTGGAAATTCTGGGAGAGCTGAAATAAAAGTCTGGTACAAAGATCTCACCAACAGCCTGTGGGGCAATGAGGTGGCAAAAGAGGGCACTGAAGAGGATGAGGGTTAGTGGGAACGTGACCCAGGCCAGGAACTGAAGGGCAAGGTTGGGCTTCATCTGCTGGTATGTCCACTTGTAGGCTGGGGAGGTGGAGGCAGACAATCAGATATGGAGAACAGACAAAATAAACACAGATAGATTGGTAGACAAAAAGGTAACCACAACTTGAGATATATTGATCAGGGTAAGATTTCAGAGACTTAAAGGGACAAGAGAGGTCAGGCCTGGACCCTTACCTTGTGGCATTGTTTTCCTCACCCATGATATAAACCCATCTTGGATCAGAGACCCAAGAAACACATGAAGAATCATAGAAAATTAGAGCTGGAAGTAATCTTAGAATCATCTTGTCCCCTTCAAGGAGGGGACAGTCCCAGAAAGAGATTTAGGATCAACTAGGAACTGGGAACTGAGAGAATTGGGGATCAAAGCTTAGAATGTTGTGGTCAAGGGGTCAGACATACCCTGAAGACTCTTGGCACTGACATAGTCCATGCTCCAGCTAACCAGTGCCATAACTAGTCCCAGCAATACCAGGAAGATCCAGTCCTCTCCCAATTTCCTTCTCACAATTTGTCCCATTCGATGGGCACAATCTGAAGAAGAGGAAGGTCAAGGTGGTCCAGCTTCAAATAGACAACTGGAAGAGTCCCAAAGATCCCTCCTCTATTTTGCCTTCAGTGTCATTCTCTCTCTTTGATGCTATCTTATTGGTGGTGCAGTGAACAAAGAACTGGGCTTGGAGTCAGGAAGACTGAGTTCAACTCAGACACTTACTAGCTATGTGACTATAGTCAAGTTGCTTAACCTCTATTTGCCTGAGTTTCCACAACTGCAAAATGAAGATAATAATAGCACTTACTTCCCAGGATTGCTGTGAGGACCAAATAATGATCACAAAAATATAAAGAGATAATGGTTATAAAGTACTTACCACAGTCTCTGGCACATAGGAGGCACCACATAAATGCCAGCTATTATTATGTTGCAGTAGAAAAAGCTCTGAATTTTCTATCAAGAAACCTAGATTCTAATGCTGGGTATGACACTTATTAAGTGGATGACCAACTTGCCCGCAATTTCTGTACCTCCACTGATCCCCAAATCCCTTCTGCCTCAGTCCCTACTACCTTGGCACTTGGAATGGTGATCTTCCTCACTGCTGTCCATGGCAGAGCTGGGAACCTTCTGCCCGGGACTTGCCATGTTCTTTTCTTTGCTAGAGAAAGCCAACGGTTGTTCTGGGTGGTGGCCATAGACCTAGGTAGGAGAGGAAAGAAGCAAGTTAGTTTCTGTTCTTCACCTAAGAAGAGGGAAAAGTGAGTATGTGTGTTCCTAGAGCAAAGGTCCTTAAAAGATCCCCCGGAGTACACAAGATAATCTATTTGGCTGGGATGGTGGCAGGAATTAGAAATGAGGAGAGCAGCACAGTGGTTCAACACAATGACACCCTTGTCCAGCTCTGGGCTCTCCTTTCACCTGTCCCCATCGTGGACATTAATAGTCAGCCACCCACTGGTCCTCAGGCAGGCAGAAAGGCCAGCCTTGCCTGAGCTTGACCCACCCCGTTACTGTTGCACTAGCAGCAGCTGCAGCAGCTGCACAAATGTCTGATCTCCCCTGAATTGGGCTTAGGTGCCTTTCCATACCTGCTCAGGTTCTTTCCCCCTCACATCCTTTCCTCAGAAGAGGAGGGAAAAAAGGAGGCTTATAATAGACCAGAACAATCTGTAGCAAGGACAATCTGGGAGGAGCTGGTACAACATGCAACAGGCGAGGCAACGTTTCAGGGGCTACCTGTGGGCTGGGTGCTCAAGTAGCCACACACAGAACTCTCTTGGCTCTGCAACCTGCTCCTAAGACCCTGACCCCCCCAAAAAAAACCCCACCTCATTGGACGATTTGGAAGCAAGTAGGAAGGCCACTCACCACTAGGAAATCAGAACTACCTGGGCATAATCAGCTCCTTTCTCCCCACCTGGTACAGTCACCCTTTGGGCTTGAGATCTGTCCTTCAGAGACCACAGACCACTTCCCTAATGATGGAAATTTCCTATTTTTATCAAAAACCTTAGCATAATTGCTGGGTGGGATTGAAAATGAGTATTTTGATTTAGTTAAGGACGAGCAACAATGTGTTTCATTTGGACCTACATATATTGTTTTAATTTTAAAATTTGATTTATTTTACTTAAGACTGGGTCTCTCTATTTCACTCAGGCTGGAAATACAGCACACTCATAGGCCTGATCCCACTACTGATAGGCCAGGGAGCTTTGACCTGCTGCATTTCCAAGAAGGGCTACTTCACTCTTCCTTGGGTAGGTGAAGGAGGTTGGAGGTTGGAGGTTGGAGAGGGGAAGGGAATAAACATTTATACATTGCCTATTATGTGCCAGGCAACTGTGCTAAATGCTTTACTATCTTATTTGATCCTCACAACTCTTCCAGTTAGGTATGATTATTATGCCCATTTTACAGTTGAAGAAACTGAGGCAGATAGAGATTAAGTGACTTGCCCAGAGTCATACAGCTAGCGTCTCAAGACAGATTTGAATTTAGGGCTTCCGGATTCTACGTCCAGCACTCCAGGCACTGCGCTACCCAGCTGTCTTAACAGGCAACCTCATGGCCCTCCAATTTTGAACGTTACCATTTCAATACTGAACTTAGAGCGGACCCCAGTTGGTTTCATCCTCTGCAGCTCAGAAGTCTGGAGATCAATAGATCTGCCAGCCTCAGCCTCCACTGGCTGCACCACCCTGCCTGGCTCAACATATCATCGTGAGGTATCTTCTTCTGGCTATGATAGTTATGAAAAATCAATAAACTGAATGTAGAACCAGACCTCTGAACTGCTGTATCACAAACTGTTAAACCAAAAGCTCTTCTAAAATAATGATGTATATTCAATCAATAATATTTTCAGCGAGAGCAAAATGTTTTCATACTGTTAACGAAATCAAACAAAAATTGTTTAGAATGTTATTTATTCACCTATATCCCATTTCTATTCTGTGTACATCTGATGTCAACATATTGGAATAGTAGCTAAAGCATATCATTTATAAATAAATATACACATATTGTAGATGAGTCATTTCTTTTCTTTTCTTATTGATGGAGTACGCAGCCAAAAACGTTTGGCATTATCTTAAAGAGCAAAGACTGAATTGGTTTTGTCTTTGGGTCTGCATCACCTAGGATGGTGCCTTGTACATGGTAGGTATTGAATGTGTGTTGAATGGGGGCAGATGGAGAGACAGAGATAGAGCCACTCACAGAAAGAGAAGAGGTTGAAAGTACAGGCTTCTTTAACCCCCCAAAAGCAGGCATCAGTAGTTGGGGCTACTATTCATCCATCTATTCATCTTTCATTCTCAACTTCTAACTCTTCCTCCATCTTTAACTGTCCACTCTTACCCTTTGCTCATTCATTCCTAATTTCTTTCTCTCCACTTATTCCATGTTTTCTAGCCTCTGTCGTTCCGACCCCTGCTTTTGTCCTTCTATCATCATCTTTGTCTATCCACTCTTCTGTCATTCATCTCCCTATTTCTTTTTGTTTTGGCATAAGGTAGGGGTAGCATGCTGGGCCTGGAATCAGGAAGACTCATCTCTTTGAGTTCAAATCTGGCCTCAGACACTAACTAGCTGTGTGACCCTGAGCAAGTCATTTAACTTTGTTTGGCTCCATTTCTTCATCTGTAAAATGAGCTGGAGAAAGAAATGGAAAATCACTCCAGTATCTTTGCCAAGAAAACCCCAAATGGGGTCACAGAGAGTCAGACAGGACTGAAACAACCAAACAAGAAGATGGGAAGCACTGAGTGTTAGAGTCAAGTTTTTGTTTTTTTTTCTCTGGTCCAAAACACACAAAACTACGGGCTCTATTCAGACATGTCAATTAGATACTTTTATATGTAATTTATTCATAATATTGAAACATAGGCCATCTCCCCAGCTCAAGACCCTTCCCCATCTCACTATCCTCTCCTGCCAGACCTATAAATCTGATCTATAAAATTATACTATCTTTGTCTTGGTGTGTACAGCCTCAATTGTCCTATTAAGGCAAACAGAGATAGTATGTGGGTGCTTCTCTCCCTCACACTCCCCCCTTCACTTCCTTGTTTCCACTTAATTTTTCCTATCCCTTTCTCGGTGTCCACAGATCCTGGTGGATCAATAACTCCAAATGGGAACAAGTTCCACAGCTGTCAATCCATTTTTCCCCAGAGTAAGATGACCAGAGATTAACTAATGTGTGGGGGCTGACAGTAAGGATGTCCATAGCCTAGGAACCCTATACTTCAAAGGTCTCACCATCTAGATGTGATGAGATCTCAGAGGGACCAAGGAGGTTTGTTCAGCAAATCCCAGTGTCAAGCATGTGTACAATGGTGAGGGGATATAGATCCTATGACATTCCTCCTCACTCATCCTCTGGGACCAGGGTCAGTTCAGGCCATAAGCCTGGTTCTGAGAGCTGGGGTAGGAGAGATCAGGTTTCACAATAAAAGGCACTGAGTTTGGAAACTTAAGCTCACAGCCCTGGACAGAGACACAGACCTTCCTAGGGGTATCCCATTCTCTGTATTGAGTTAATTACTGGGGCAGTGCCTGCTTTTACTCCCCCACCTGGGGCTCTGATAGCAAAGCCAAGGCTGGTAAAACTGAATCCACTTCCCAAAGCTAGCTGCTTAACTTTCTTTGGCCCTGATGCTTGATTTCCCCTGGGTCCCAAGCTGAGGGGGAAGTAGGTGTGTACAGTGGGGAGGCAGGGTTGACATCAGACCCTGGGTGGGAGGAGATTAAGAGAGCTAAATATGTACCCTTTGGCTCAGGGCTAACCCCTTACACTGAGGAAGAGGAGAAGAGGACAGGGAAAGGAAGAAATAAAAATCCAGCCCGATTTTCAAAGCCTTTCAGAATCTTATGCCACCCTACCTCTTTTCTGGTATACTTGACTACTTAGCAGCTTGTACTCTCATTCCTGGACAGGCCAGTCTCTTCTTTTTTCCCTGAAATGTCATGCTTCCCACCCAGAAGTCTTTCTTTGGGCTGTTCCCCTTGCTAAAATGCTACATCTTTTAGAGCCCCAGCTGAAGTGGAACCATTCTCCATGAAGCCTTCTCTGACCATTTCAACCCATAGAATCACAGAAATTTCAAAGTCAAAAGGAACCTCAGGGGCCACCTCAATCACAGTGTTGATATCAGTTGACAATTAAATAGTACTTCACTTTGTTTACAAAGCACTTTGATATACGTGATTTCATCTGATACAATTGTGTGGGCAGTAAGTAGGGATGTTTATCCCAATTTTACAAATGAGGAAACTGATGCTCAGAGAAGATAAGGTTATACAGAGAGTAACTAGGTGGAACCCTATAGCTTCGGCCAGCTCAAAACCACTATTACACTTTTAGTTGGTACCACAGTTTATCACTTAAATTATATACTTCTTGTGCTATCCTCTAATATCTAAAATAAGCTCTTCTGGTCTCTTCCCACTAAATTGTATTCTCTTGCTGGGCACAAAGTGGGCATTCAAACATATTTTAAAATTTATCAGTAGAACAGTAGAACCCGTGCTCCTTTGACTACAGCTCTGAGCCCTTCCCCTGACATTAGAGCAAATTCCATACTGGTCTTTCTAACCAATGACTATTTCTTTTCTCTCTCCTGAACACCAAAGTGCCTTTACCACATCACTGGTTTTTATGCACATGCCTCCACAGAGCTCATAGTCCTGGACTCAGGAAGCCCTGAGAAATTTCGAGAATCAGTGACTCCATGGGAGTCTATAATTCCCATGCCACTGGACAATCCACCCTCTTTGATTCCCATCCTTCCATTTTTCTCTCCTACTATCTCTTCCCTTTCTTCCACATTTTCTGCTGTTTTCCACCTTTCTTATTCAATCACATTTACTTGTCAAACCACAATTTCTTCTCCCAGCTGAATTGGTTCCTTCCACCTCTCCTGATTTCTTCCTCCCTTTGGTCATGTCTAACTTTGCTCCAACTGTCTTTCCTAAGCTTCCTCCTCACCCCTCTAACTCTAACTTGTGCACTAGTATATGCTTAGGAATTATCAGTCTCTAGCAATGGCTTCCTCTTCTAAATCCCTACAACACTGTATTATTCACTTCATGCTTCCATACTGTCTTGTATTATCTTTTCATTCATATATATCCAATTTCTCTCAACTAGACTGTAAGGGTAAGGGGTCACATCTTTGCATCTCCCACAGCACCCAGGTGTGTTGCCATGGATTTTGTTGTTCAGTCATTTCAGTCATGTCTGACTCTTTGTGACCTCATTGGGGGTTTTCTCGGCAAAGACAGTGTAGTGGTTTGCCATTTCCTTCTCCAGATCATTTTCTAAACGGAGGAACTGAGGCAGGCAGAGGTTAAGTGACTTGCCCAGGGTCACACAGCTAGTAAGGTCTGAGGCTGGATCTGAACTCAGATGAGTCTTCCTGACCTCAGGCCTGGCACTCTATCCACTGCACTATCTAGCTGCCCTAATGCCAGGCACAGAGGTGTTCAACTGATATCCCCCTTTACGTGGGGCAACAGTTTGCTACATTATTCTACATCGATGTATCTGAAATATGGCTATTCAATCAGTTTCTCAGCCTTCTCCATCCACTCTTGTGTTTTATTTCCAGAGGTGGGGGGGTGGGGTGTCCATAGGAAGTAACAGTAGTTTCTATAGTTTGCATATACATGTTTACATGTTTGTACATAGGTGTAAAGGCAGCGAGCATGCCTGCACATAGGTAGGTGTAACCACAGCAGCATGGATAGTTCTACACAATTCAGAAAATATGTTGTGTGCATGTGTGTACACATGTCCCATACAAGTCAAAATGTTGTATAAAAATGTGTACTGAGTGCATGCATGATAGTGAGAACAGATTGGAACACGAACACTGATGTGTACATGGTGGGATGGGGGATGGGGAGAGTTGGAGAGCACAAAGTCACAAGTGTACAGGTAAAGATCACTCACACCATGCCTATTTTTGCATGAGCTAGGTAATTCATACATGAACATGTGTGCATAATTATAGACACGTCTGTTTCTCTTGGCCTCAGTCTATCCATCTCCATTTCTGTGAGACAGAGAACAAGACAGTGTTTTTAAAACTAGTTCTCCAGTTTTAAGATATTAATATCTTTCCACCTTCTGCTATTTCCTCTCCTATCTCCTAGTTCCCTTAGTCTGTGCCCAGTCTCCTTCCCCTTGCCCCAAATTTGCTCAATTCTCCTCTTTTACCTAGCACCTTTTCTCTTTGCTTTCTTGTCACCCTCCCCCTCACCCCCCTACCCACTGTCATACCTGTGTAGGATAAACGTTGGGCCGGGGGCCTGTATTCCCCTGAGGTCTGTGCTCATGGATCCCGTTCTCAGAGGGCAGGCCATAACTGGTGCAGTGCTCAAAGGAGACATACTGGTACTGAGGGGCACTACCCCACCAGCTTGATTCTCCCCCTGGTCTCAGTGACCCAGCACGGTCCATGATCCCAGCCTTGGGCTGGGCCCCAGACTGACTGGCCCCCTATTCCCCAACAGTTCCTTGAACCTCACCTCCTACTTGGCCCCAAGGAGTCTAGGGCAGCATGCCCACCCTCCTACTATTTATAGCCACCCCCTGTCACATGACCCCCCCACTGCCACATCTGATCTGCTTGGGGTCAAAACAGGTGTGAGGAGGGGGGAAGGGAAGGGCCCGCAGGGGACTCCTCGAGAAGAGTACCCTTCTCCATCCCACTGCCAAGTGCCTCGTCTAGCTTAACGCTAACGAGGGCATAGATGTTCCTTCTTTCCAACTCTCTCTGCCAAACATACCCATCATAGACTCACAGTCTCACCATTGAAAGGTTACTCCGTCTGCTTCATACCTGAACAGGAATCTTTTACAACACCCCTGACAAGTGATCATCCAGCCTGTGCTTGAATGCTTTCAGATATGAGGCACCACCCACACAAAGACAGTCCTTTCCATATGGGAACAGATCTTATTGTTAGAAAGTTTTTCCTTCTATCAAGCAAAAATCTGTCCCTCTGCTCTGGAAGCCAGGATGAAGTCTTGCTCAGGACTTTCATCTGTTTATCTACTCCACATTCCTTCCTTGGGGTGGGGGTCAGGAGAGAGGCAGAGATGAGTGGGAAAGGATGATGGCCTAGAACAGTCTGGGGATCAGCAGATGGATGACGTCCAGATAGTCACTCACCTTGGAGAGGAGCTGGTGCTGCTCTGCCATCTCTACTTGCTGCCCCTTCCCTAGCCCTCTATCCTTCCAAGGACTGGTACCCTTTTGCAACATCTTCCATCTGTCCATCCTTGCCTGTCTGTTTGAATCCCTTTGCTCCTCCATCTTTCTGCTTCCCTGTGTTCAGTAAAGGCTATAACTACTCTGATGCCATTCTCTCATCGCTGACTTTATCTCCCCTGAGGTGTGGAGTGCCTGTGGGAAACGGAGGGATAATGACCTTGGATTCTGATCTCTCCCACATCCCAGGCTGATTTATGAACTTCACCTTCTCTACAGGATTAATCAGAGAGTGGGAAGGGCCGTGTTCTCAGAAAGCTTGCAGAATGTCTATTAGTTATAGAAGGAATGGGATTCAGAGGAATGGGATTGAATTTGGGATTTGAAAAGCAGAGATGTAGAGCAAAAAGGGCTTTCAATCTGGGATATGTATATCCTCACGGGATCCAGGAAGCTATAAAGGTGACAATTTATGAAAAGTTAATTTTTATTTCTCATGTGCACATGTACTATAAAATCTAAAATTTTTAATATTTCATACTGAATAAGGGATACAGGAAGGTTCACTAAAATCCTGGAGAACAGGATCTGAAAAAGGCTGGGAACCTGTGATATAGGGTGTGCTATGACAGCTTTGGGGGCTGATGTTTTAGTAGGATACACATATATAGGCCTACTCATGATAAGCCTGACAGAAACATAAAAGATGATGCAGAAGCAAACTACGTCATGCCCACCACAGCTCAATAAATGTGTCAGGATAAGAGCAAAACCCAATAAGCTTAATGTTCCCTCTACCTCTACCTCCCTGGGACATTTTCTCTTCTGTCTCAACTATCACCCCCCCCCACCATACCCCCATACCCCCACACCCAGCTTCTTAATTACAGTTACAAATGAATAGGTAGCTCAGACCTCAAGACTATGGGAGGGTAAGACATGGTATTGGTATGAACATGAGAAATGATGTGTTACAAAAGTAATACAGGGTTCTTTCTGGGGACATTTGTATGGGTTTATCCCAAAGTTCGGGGGATGGCATGAAGGAGAAGCCCAAAGGTTTAGCCTTCAATTTAATTCTGACCAAGGTCCAGTGAAACTATACAGGGTTGGGGGAGGGAGAAGAAAGGAATGGGTCACTAAACATGTACCAGTTTCACAAATATCCTATAGCAACCCAAAGTCCCCTCTATAACATGAGTATATGTGAGGAAAGGGGGAAAAGTCAGCAAGGACAGGATGATGACTTAAGGAGGGGTCAGACCATCATTAAAAGAAGTTTCAGAAGCAGAAAAGATTCTCATCCTAGGGAAAATTAGTTCTGTGTGTGTGTGTGTATACATTTATACATGTTTACATACATCTATTTTTATAGATGTGTGTATACACATACACACACACACACACATACACACACACTCCTACTTTCCACGTATATGGCCTTTGACAGTAAAGTATTACTTCTGAAGAGCTTGACAGCCTCAAAGACAACTGCCTATGATTAGAGGTACCTCTCTCTACATTTGAGTTGGAGTCAATAAGTGGGAGGGAGTCAAGTACTTGGACAGTTCACGCAGTTGTTAACCCAGCACTGGCTTCTCAAATTGGACAGTAGAGGCCAGGACAGAAAACAGTTTCTGGGAAGTGAAGCAACTTCCTGAATTTCCAAGTCAGTGATGAACAAAGAGCCACAAGCTCTATATGGGTTTGGCCAAGGTCTGGGAAGATAGGAAGTGGGTTAGGAATTTGAGATTAAGGGGTTTGGGTCAATGCTACAGGGATGCTTTGGAAAGTTGAACTATCTATTGAATTAAAATATTTCTCATAACCAAAAGAGGTCTAGAGGAAGGGATAAAATGAGAAATGTGAAAAGGAGATCAAGAAACAGATTATGTGTTTTTGTGTTGAAGGCCAGAGGAAAGCCTGAGGCTCACAAGTAGGGAGGTATGGGATTTTCTGAGCCAGAGACTGGATATTGGGGGACAGAGAAAAGGAGCTGCTCTGGGAATTTGCTCCCCGAGGCAAAGGATTTAGGGACACCTTTCTTATCAATGGTACCTCCTCACTCTGATATCCTAAGATTGGTTTTGTGGGGTTTTAAGGATAAAGCAAGTCTCTCCCTCTTTATTTTTGCCATTGCCTCTCCTACTTCTTACCCACTAAGTTCTAAAGAAGGGAGTGGGGGGGGGAGGGAAGAGAAGTTTAGGGAGAGAGATAATTTTAGATGAAGGTGAGGAGGAAGAGGGGAACAGAGTTGTGCAATCCAACCTCTAACACCCTTGTTAAATAGGGTGGGAGAAAGACAAAGAATCCTCAATTCAGAGACAGAGTTTACTCCACCTCTCAAGTGTCACACTACTTAAAAACAGCCTCACTATGGAAATTCCTTTCCCCACTTTAGTCTCATTGGATAACCTTGTTTCATTCCTCCTGCTTCCCTGACTTGCTGATGCCTCAAACTATCTTGCAGTTTTTTCAATCCCACTCCCTCAAGTCCGTATATCCTCTTTGGGGCATTCCTCTTATCCACAGAACCACCACAGAGAATTTCTTTCCACAACATTGCCAACAAGTAGCCATATAGCTTTTGCTGAACCACCTCCAGGAAAGGGTATCCCACTGCCTGGCAGGGCAAGTTATTCTATTTTTAAATAGCTTTAATTGTGAGGAAGTTTATCTTTACTTCAAACCCAAATCTTCATGTCTCCATCCACCATTCCTTGCCTAGTCTACTTTTAAATAGGTTAAATATCCCAAGTTCCTTCCACCTGCACTCATGATGTGAACTTGAGACTGCTCACAAGCATTAAGACTCTCCAGTTTGTCAAAGACTATCACCTTCTTAATCCAACATGTTTCTCTCACTGCAACCTCAGATGCATTAGCTTTGGGGGCTTCCATTACACATATATTAAGTACATGAACAGCCTCCACTCAGATCTGATGAACTACCATGTAGTCAAGCCTTCCCCACCCTGTATTTTATGAGGTTGACTTTTTGAATCCAAGTATAAAACTTTCCATTATCCATATTAAATTTCATGGTATCAGATTTGGCCCAGCTTTTGGCTTGTCAGGATCTTTTTAGATGCTGATTTTGTATTTCAATTGTTATCCTTCCTTTGTCACCTGCAAATGTGGTAAACATAAATATGCCGTCCATGCTTCTGTCCAAGTCACCGATAAATATAGTAAACAGCACAAATCTCTGGGGCATTCCACTAGTGATTTCCTTCCAAGCTCACATTAAATCATTAACAACTACCCTTTAGATCAATCTCCTTCAGCCTATTTTTCCTATTGGTGATTCCACTGGGTCACTGACAACTCCTTTTTTAGGGGAGGGTAAGAGAAAGGGCTCTTTGACACAGGCACCCTAGCTCCTTATCTTTACATATTTTTTTCTCATCACTGCTTCACAAATTCTCTATAATCCATCACCAACTTAACAACCAATTTATTATTCCTATCAGTCCACCCCACCCTTTATTTTACCAAGGTCAACAAAGCTCATTTCCTTCAACCCACTCCAATCCTGGCTCTTTGATCCCCACATCTGTCCTACTTCTATACAATTCACTCACTATTTCCTGCCACTACAGTTATTCCTTTAAGTATATATCAAGACCCCTTAAGCTGCTTAAAGGCTAGAGCCCAATCCAGGTAGAGAAATGGAATCCTACTGTAGACCATCCATTTACTCTACACTCCTTTAACAAGACTGACAGACTTACTGAACCCACCTGACCTACTACCTGCCAAATTTCCTAGGATTTAATTCAGACAGGACTCTGAATGCTTGATGTAGTTGTCCATGGACACTATCAGAGTAGTTATTCAGAGATGAAGTGTAACTGGTTCATTATCATAAGAGTAGGCTAGGGTTTATTTTTTTGGAGTTCTGGCAGCAACATGAAGAAATTAGTGAGGTAGGTTTGTAAGGTAAATGAAAGATATCAGGCATCTGGTTAGCCACAGGGACAGAGGTCTTGGGGACACTTGGTAACAAACATGAATATTTATTTGGCACCTGAAAGCAATACAAAACCCTGGCAGTGGGAAGTGGGGAGAGACTCATGTCCAGATGCTGGAAAAACAAATACCCTCTCTGGAGGACCTCCACCCCAACTCCAATCATTAAGTATTTATTGAGCACCTTTAGGCCCCGGCATAGTGCAGGACACTGTGGGAGATAAAAGTATAATACATGATCTTTGTTTTTACTATGTGCCCACACTATGGGGGCTATGTAAGTATGACACATGGTCACTGCCCTCAAGAAGCTTACAGTTTCTTTGGGCAGCTGTAGCTAACATACATCAAAAAATCAAAATACAGTTAAGTACTAAACTGTGGTAGTATTAAGTACAAAGGGAATTCAAAAAAGGCTTCATTGAGGTGGGAATTGAGCTGAGTCAAAGAATAGGCAAGGTTTTGTAGAAGTACAGGGTAGGAGAGAAGGCATTAAAGGTGGAATGACAATATGAGCAAAGGCACCAAAGAAGAAATAAACATTGTGGAAAGTGAGTGAGAACACTAGCTTGAAAGGAATAGGGGGTGCCTATTGGGGAATATAGGAAGGAAAGCTGGAATATATCCTGTGAGGCTAGGTAATAAGAGGATATTTAAAAACTAGTCAAGATTTAGGAGTCTGTAGTTTCTTTAGCAAGGGAATAATTTAGAAAATGTATCTAATAGTAGCATATGGAATGGATGGAGGGTGAAAGACTGGAAGTAGGGATACTAGCCAGGACGTTTTTATAGTAATCCTGGCAGAATACATAGAAAACCTAGCCTTGTTGGCAAATAGGAATAGTGAGGAAGGTAGAGCATCTGAAAGGAAAAAAATGGGACTCAGGATAGGAGATGAAGGAAAAAAAGGAATTAGATTATTCTGAGGTATCATTCCCATCCATTCTCCATTCTTTCTCTATATTACCCATTTTAACAGGAAAACACAAGAGAAAGTAACTATACAGGAAATCTGGGAAACTCCCTGGGGAAGGAATAAGAGTCACCTTAATAAGGTTAGTTTTCATCCTTCTCCACCACTGGGCTGGAGTAAATTCCAAGCAGGGGAACAGGGGAAGACAGTCCCCTCCTAACAGGGAGGCCTTACAGTACTAAAAAGGAGAATGCATAGGTCATTACTGTAGATACAGCGTTTTGAGCTGTGCTTGGCCCTCTAAGACCAAATACCCCCTCATAAATGATATCTATTGCGTTCTCAAAGACTAAGCTAGTGAAGTACAAACTCTAGTAGAGAGATCCAACACTAAACTGGAAAGGCTTCGAAAACAGACCTAGTGATGGTTCCCATGTCTATTATCCAAAGAGGAATTTAGTTAAGTTTCAAAAGAAACATGATCAAATTGAATGGAGGCAATTATTTTTTGGCCATGGTAATTCAGGACTACCACTTACTAAATCATGGAGGGGCTTCATTATGTAACAGTGGAAAGAGTGAATACTCATACTGAAGAAATCATAGATTTTTAAAGTACTGAATTAAGTAGTAAAGACATCACTCGAAATATCCCTGAATGTCAAGGAAAGTTGTGTTTGAAAACAGAAAGGATAAGTGGAAAAGATCATCAAAATGGCTTCAACTCACATAACAAAAACAATGATCAAAGTGCTATTCACAATAATCCTGGGGAGTGAACTCAATAACTACAAGAGGCTAGGGCTGGGGCTTGATTGAATATTCAACACTAGTACTCAGGATGAAGCTCACTTACCCCATACAAGCACTGTGTTCTAGAACTACCTGCCAGACTCCCTTGACCAGGGATTGCCAAGAAATAGTTCTAGAGTTTCATACACAAGAGGAGCTGGCCTGCAGACCCCATCTTCAAAGTGGAAAATAAAAGGTATATAAAACAAGCCTGGAAGAGTCCCATTATCCCTGAGGGGAAGGAATAAATGGTCCATTTTGAAGAGGGACAGTTCAATCATGCCTCCTGTAGTCACTCTGGGTTAGATGAGAGGATGGGTGCTCATCGTGTAGGAGGATGTCCTGGAAATAAGTAGAGGTGGCGGCAGAGGGTACTGGAGTACTCAGACATCTCCTTACATCGATGAAACTCTGTACCAGGGGCATAGCCTTCTCGATCTTTGATAAGTGCATTAACCTGGAGAGGGAGAAATTTGCTAAGTTTCAAGCCAAAGACTTCAGGCTTCTTACAACACCACCCTAAAAGCAAGCCAAGCCATAACAGAGAAGGAAGACCAGGGAGGCAGGAAAGAAGGCAAAATGAAGGCAGGGCAAACTGCATATCTCAGGCAAAGAGTCAGCCATAGAGACACTTACCTTAACCAACATGTCTGCCACGTGCATATCTCGAGCCCTTTCAGAGAACACTTGTGTCAGGGCCTCAATGTACCAGGATCCCCGCTTGGTGTTCCGCATGGCAGCAGTGCCTACAATCAGACCAGGACTATGTTAGAGTGTGAGATCCTAGCCTTCTGGTTCATTCTCCATTCCATAGCCCATTCTAAAATAGTACCAAACTGAGTAAGGGACCTGAAGACTCCTTCATCACTTTCCTTCTCCTTTGCCATAGTAGTGTCAAAAGCACTTAGCCCAGTGCCTGGCACATAGCAGTTGCTATGTTACAACCCACAGTTACAACCCACAGTTTAAGAAGCACTGAAGGGATTGTGAGTGGAAAAAGTTTAAGAAGCCCTACTCCAGAACCCCAAGTACCTTTGAGGCATGCATAGCCACAGATCATGTCAGAGCGTGTGGGCAGTCGCATTTTCAATATCTTTTCTTTGCCAGCATCACTTTCCTCACACCCCGGAGAGGCCACACGCTCTTTCCCATCTCGAAGGTCTACCCCTCGATCTGTCTCATCTGCAGGGAAAATGGACAAAAACAGCATTCCCCCCCGGGCCTGACAATGGGAAACCAAAACTCTCTCCCATCCCAAGGGGGACAGCCATCTTTGGCTGCTGCTTCAGCCAACTTGTGCTTGATAGATACAAGTGTCTCTCCCTCCTCTGACATAATAGAATTGTGACAGTCCTGAGCTCCTTCCAGGCCTGTTAGGATAGAAGGAATGGTTGGAAGTGCTGAATAAGATTCCATACAGTGGAAAGGACCTTAGAAGTCTTCTGATCTATCACCGGCCTTTGGACAGAAAGAAGCAGCAAATACTTTTACCACAGGTCTAGGAGGATTCAGCCTCTTGCCTCCTGATCTGCTCTAGCAGAGAGAGATTCTAAGTCTGACAGTATTTCCCTCTTCCTAAGACTCACAGAGTAGTCAGGCAATGAATTCAACAGAATTAGGAAGGGGAAATGGGGTGAAAGCCAATACATACAGTCTTTCCTCAAGAGAAAATGGCAAGTAGGTGAGGGTCCAATTACCAAAGAGGCTGGATACTTGATTACTCCCTAGAGGTTTTGTGGAAAAGTTGGGAAGGTGGATTGAGAATGGGCACATGCATGTTATTAGAGGAAAAGAAAAATTCTGCAATCCCATTAAATTCATTCCATATATCCAATTACCTGCCAAATCTTGTTTCTATCTCTACATTTGCCCCCTTAGCTCTACCTATCTAGTCACCACCCTAAACTATGGTTCTCTTGCCTGGACTACTTTAATAGCTGAGAAATGGCATCCCTGTGCCAAGACTCTCCCCCCTCCAATTGGTCCTACACACAGATGCCAAAATGTACAGATCAAACTACAGTGGTTGTCCATTACCTCTAGGACCAAATATAAATACTTCCGTTCAGCACTTATGGCTCTTCACAATCTAACTTGATGCTTATCTTCTTAGCCTCATTTATATGACTACATATCACATACTCTACAGTCCAGCCAAATGAGCCTTCTTAAAGTTTCACACACAGTCCTCCATCTTTCACCTCTATGCCTTTGCACTGGCTGTCCTCCATATCTGGAATGTTCTCTGCTTCTCACTTTCATCTTTTAGAAGCCCTAGTTTTGTTCAGAGTTCAGCTCAAGTGACACCTTCTGCATGAAGACTTTCCTGATCCCCTCAGCTGCTTGTAACATCCTTCATAATGATCTTTTCCTCTTACTTTATTGCTCATGTTTGCAGTTTACACATCATTGCATATTTGCCTACATGTTGCTTTAGAATTTTTTTTATAGATATGTATCTTATCTCACAAACTATATTATTAGCATCTTGAAGAGAGGGATCACATCTTCTTTTCTATCCTTAACAGTACTTAGCATAATATGGATTCAAAATAGGTGCTTGCATTTCTTGGAAGCCATATAAAACCAGAATGCTCAAAGTCCTGGCTCCTAAGGAAGCTGGGAAAACCTCATGCAAGGGAAGAAAAAGGTTAGAATGCAATGAAATAAGGGAAAGAGAAGCACTTCAGGCAGCAGTATGGTCCAAAAGCTGGAGAGCACAGAAGTAAGTAACTTTTGGGTCCCCTGCAGAATGCATAGGTAGTCAAGAAAAAGGCAGGGAGTTTAAAAGAGGCAGACAGGAAGGTAAAGACAGATACAAATGAATGGGGTTTAAAGGAGAAGACAGAAAGGAAATGAGGAAGAAACAAAAGAGAGGTAGACACGAGATACAGAGAACTTTGATTGTTATTCATTACTCTCACCCAAAGACAGAATATCTCCGAGTTAAGAACTGGAGAGACAGACAGGTCCAACAGGAAAATGACGATGCTGATAAGAGTGTTCTGGTGAGAAGAGGACATAAAGATGCAGGATAAAGAGCTGACCAACCTGAGAGCCATGGGCTGCCCAAGTCCTAGCACAGCCCATGCAGAGGGAGAGACACTTACAGAGTGCGAAAGGCGGTGGCAGCAGTGAACAGAAGGGGGTGCCCATGGGATTCAATAGCACCTGAGAGGAGCAAACAGGAAAGTGAGAGCTGGCAAAGGGGCTGCCCAGGAGCTACTACCTAGGCACTGGGCTGGCTGTTAATACTCACCTCCACGACAGGCCTGGATAAAAAACATCTTGGGCTTGTTCTGCAGGTTTGGGCAGTTGGCATTGTCGAAGAGCTGAAAAACCTCTTGGAGCTGCAGTAGAAAGAATGGATGAAGCAAGTGGGTTAAGCAATCTTCATACTGTACTTTTGGAGTTCCACAACACTTAGAATAGCTGTTACATGTAAGAAGGGGAAAGAAGTGAGAAAGTCTAGTTTCACTGGTCTGTGTCTAGATAACCCAAGTACCTGGAGCAACTTGCCATCTACACCATAGATGCCACCGTCTATGCCATGAGAAAGAAGTGCAACCATGCAGGAATCTGTGCTCTGGTGAGCTGACAGCTGTGCAAACCCCTGGAGCTTCTCATGCATCTCCTGAAAGATAAGATTCCCACAGGACTTAACTAATTAGGCAAGATCTCCAATCAGCCCACAATTATAAGTTTTTAAGTTTTTCTCAGTATGTCCTACTGTCAATTGGAAAATGCATGGTATTACTAAGGCCAGTTTTAGGTAGAATCTTAAGGGCTACTTTCTTCTTAACTTACTGAACTCTTAGATAGATAGGTATCTTCACCACAATAAACCAGTTAGTACCTAGCCCTAGGGTCCTCATTCATGGTCTCCCTAACAAGTAGACATAGAACTATAATCTCTCTCTCTTTCAGTCAATGTCACTTGACATAAAAAAACATTCGACAATCTCCTCAAAAAACTGAGTATACACAGGAGAATGTGAGAATGAATTAAATATCTGAACAAAAGATACAAGGCTATTGCTACCTCTTCCTATGTTAATCTCCCTCCAAATTTATTTTTATTTCACTTTTTACCTATTTTCTACACTGTGTTAATGCTAAATACCCTCAATGGTAAGTCAAGGAAGTTACTGATTTTATATCATCCTTAGTTTAAGCATAGTGAAAATATTAAGCTAAATTCAAACTGATTTTGTGGAAAATATACTCATAGCTTAAAAAGAGTTATCTAAAACAGCAGGTAAAATAATCTATCCCACATAAATAATTGATAACGTAATAGTTACGGCAGCATCTGAAAAACAGAGAAAAATGGTTGAAAATATGATGTAGGAATATATCTTACAAACTACACTATAAAAATGACTGAACTCCCTTAACACACAAACTGGCTATTCCTGTATACTAATAAATATCACGAGGAAAAGATTGTTACTTATAAGTCATTTGTTTGGAGAAATAAATGGCACTTTTTTCAAGGAAATAATCTATTCAGTGTAAGGACATACGACTGTTCTCTTGCCCTCTAGTGGAAGGTGAGTGTAGTATTTGATACAGCCTAACCCGTGGGCTCAAAGTAACTCTAAATGCACCCTACCTCCTGAATGGATCAATTGTTGACCTGTTAAGGAATACAGAAAAAGTCTCCTGATGAACCAGACTGTCAGAATCAAGTTTACTTTACTATGCTGAGTACTACTGTTATAACTTGTCCACCCGGACCTGGAGTCTTCGGCCGAAATCGCGACCTCCAATGTTTGAATAACTTTGATTTTCCTATGTTGCATGCTTTCTATTACCAATCTTACCTTGCTCTCACCTAGCTCACCCAGTAGCAGTATTTACATATAAGCTTCTCTCTACCGTCACCAATGAGTTAGATACAACATCAAGCCTGACTCAAAATATTACATAAAATTCAGACTAGTATTTTAGATTAAAATGTCAGATTCAAAAGGTACTAAACCTACTAGAAAGTAGGTATGGTTAATTTGATCACTCAATTTTTTTTAGTCAATTTTCTAACAAAAAAAAATCATTTATAATTCAGATAAAGGGGACAAGAGCTTTTTGAAAGAAAATGAAGAATAGTTTTAAAAGTAAAAAGCTAGATTTATGAATTAGTGGATTAAATACTTATACAACAGAAATTCTCAATAAATACCTCCTGATTTATGAATATTCTGCAAACATATCATAGAGGAAAGCTTCCTCAAGTGACAAGTGGCCCCAGAATGATTGTTTTCTTATTAGTCACCACTGTACTTGTACAAAGAGAGGTATAAAGAGAGGAGGAAGATGCAATCCTTCTGCTACTTGATTTCATTCTTGCTGCAGATGCATTTTCTCACAGAAACAATGTTATGCATGCTAGTTACATTCCCAGAAAGGAAAACACAAGTGAAACAAAATGGGAGAAACAGACAAAAAAAAAAGACAACAGGTCTATGTCAACTCAAAGGTAAAGTATAAATTTAGTTAAATTTCAGCCACATTATGGTTTTAAAAAGACTTCCGGGTAAACTGCAAGCACCGTTTTAAACACTGTTTCTATGGGAAAACGTGTTCCAAATTCTAAATGTGTTGAATAAATGAATGAATGTTGAATAAATTCTAGAACACAACTCATCTGTCAATTGGGAGATGCTTGTATTTGCTGAATTTAGAAACATCTGTACGTTGAGGAAAATGGAGCCACCAAAGCAATTATAATTTTGGTGTGTGAATGTCCTTTTGGTTTTGTTTTTAAAATGAAATTCCTTAAATTATAAGTGAAAAAATGCATTTGAAGATTTTCTTTCCAGAATACTACCTAGCAAAACTCTTTGAAGATAAAAATGTTTTCCTTTTTTGTCTTTCTAGCCTTAGGCCTTTAGATGTAGCTAGGTATAACAGAGATGTTAGCTTCAGAGCTAGGAAAACATGGCTTTGAATATTTCCTCTGAACACACTGGGCAGAGATATCACCACTGGTAAATCATTTAAGTTCTCAGGGCCCCCAGGAGCTATAACTTAGACTATAACTTAGAAACCAACTGCCTATCTGCACTATTGGAGGGAAATTCTACTCAGCCCTGCCTGACCCCTCAAATAAATAAATAGATAAATCCTATATCCTAGTGCCTATAACAGAGAAGGCACTTAATGAACGCTGAAGAATGAAATTAATTTAATAGAAGTTTAAAATTAATATATACATCTCTGGTTTTTATGATACATTGTTCTTATTAAGAACTAGAATAACTAAAGTGCAATTTACTGTAATTATTACTTAGAAATGTATACTTCTTTTTCAAAGGCCTAGATCTGAAAATTGCATTTTTCTTACTATCTCCTGAAAAGACAGAGAAACACTTTACAAAACTTAAGGTGCTATATTAAAAGTCAATTATTTTTAACATTCTATTAATATATTTGGAATAATATGTTAATATAATTAATATTCTATTACTATATTAGTAACACACATACACACATATAGCTCTTATTAAAAGCAAGGTATATTTAAGGAATTACCAATTTATAAAAGGTGCTAGTAGAATTGTAACCTCTCATTAACTTGGGACACAACTTTATGGTGAACAAATTATAAGTGAATAAATGCATTTGAAGCTTTTATTTTTTCAAGAATTTTACTCAGAAAACTCTTACTTTATGGTAAGAATGAAAGAAGAATCTATCATACTTACTGCTATGTGAAAACAGTCACACCTAGGGAGTCACTTACCAAAAGAAATTCTATTTATATACAGGCATTATTTTAGAAAAGTATGTTCAAATTCTGGCTTATGGTTCAACAAGGTTCCAACAAAGGATCTGAATATTTTTGGTCCTTATATTTTAAACTGAGGAATGAAAGAGAGTATGAATGATGAAAGAGGAAAACTTATTACTCTGAAACCAAAGTCAAGCTGATCTATGCAATTTACTGTTTATGGAGTAAATTTTCGCTGCTTTTTTTTTTAATAGAAATTTTGTCTTAACACAATTGGAATACAAAATGCTACGTATGAATAGATCAATCTTCATGTTGATAGATTCAGACTCTGAATCAAGAATAAGGACTTGTTTGCTCTGAACAGCCCTCAGCGTAATTTATTATTTTACAATTTTTTTCATTTTGTTGCTCAAATATTGTTTCAATATTCTTAAATTATCTAGTTCCTATAGATTATGGATTATTGCAACTTCTTCTTTGCCTCTAAAGCCCTGTACTTGGAATGTAATAAAAACGTAAAGAAAATATAGATTTCTCATTGTAAATAACTTTAACAGGTAGCATAGTAACTGGTATTTTTTTCCCTTAAATGACCTAAAAGGCTTGGTAGATTCTACAACACCCAAATAAAACACCTATATTAAAAGAAAAAAACTTAAAAATGTATCTGGCACTTTTATTTGGGTTCTAAATATATTCCATTTGATGTTAAAAGAATATCTCTGAGCCTGATGTTTTTAAATAGAAAACATGTCTGACTGGCTTGATAAACTTGAAACCAGAAAAACAGCATACTTTCTGTTACGTAAATAGCAGACCTTAAAATTAAAAATTATTAATTTAACTATCAATTATTTAAAACCCATATTTTATTTGTATGTTTTTTCCTGTTATTTAGAAAAAATGAAAATCCTCTGCTGGAAGCTAAGTATCACAAGCACTATCAAACCAATGCACTATATACAGGACACCCCTCTAAGTTGAATGTACAAGTCATCATATCAGCCTACAGATTAACACTGGAATGTTTTTCTTTTTTTTAAATATACACTTTTCAAAAACTACTTACTTGTGGCAGAATGACTACATAGCTGGTAAAGCAAAATTTATTCCTTTGTCTATAAACATGCCACAGTCTTCCTTATCCTTAAACATACAACACACACACACCCCTCCCAAGATAAAAAATGTTTGACCATTATTTATGGAGACTATGATAAAATTATACTTATGAAAACAAGAACAGGTAAATAAAAACTGATCTATTAACATAAATGCACTTAAATGAATAAGAAATTTCCATTGTGGAATGACTAAACAAATTGTGGTATATGAATATAATGGAACATTACTATGTGGTAAGAAATAAAACATGATGAATACTAAGAAGCATGGAAAGATTTATATTAACTGATGCAAAGTGGAGTAAACAGAGCCAGGAAAACAATAAATACAACTATAGCAATGTAAGTGGAAAGAATAACCACCAAAAAACAATAAGAAATAAATTGTACAAAACTGTAAAAATCAAATTTGGCCCCAAAGAAGAGAAATGAGAAAAATATCTCCCTGACTCCTCTGCAGGGAGGATAGAAAAGGTGTCTCATAGGTATGGAACATTTCATACAATGTCAGTTTTTTTGATACATTGATTTTGCTGAATTCCTACTTCCCCTCTTTTCCTTCATTTCTTCTTCTTTTTTAAAAAAAATATATTATAAAAGGATGGAGAGAGACACAGATAGTAATCATAACTGTGAATGTGATAATATGAATGTAATGGAATACTATTGTGCTATAAGAAATGATGAACAGGCAGATTTCAGAAAAACCTGGAAAGACTTATATGGTTTGATGCTGAGTGAACTGAGCAGAACCAGGAGAACGTTGTACACAGTATCAGCCACGTTGTGCGATGACTAATATTGATATAACCCTTCTCAGCAACACAAAGATCTAAGACATCTCCAAAAGCCTCATGATGGAAAATGCTATTCACATCCAAAGAAAGAACTATGGAGTTTGAATGCAGATCAAAGAATACTATTTGCTATTTGTTTTTCTTCTGTTGTGTTTTGTTTCTTCTTTCTGGCGGTTCCTCCTCTTAGTTTTAATTCTTACTTACAACATCACTAATGTGAAAATATGTTTAATAGGAATGTATATATATAGCCTATATCAGATTGTGCGCCGTCTTGGGGAGGAAGGTAAGGAGTGAAGGGGAGAGAAATTTAAAACTCAAAAGCTTATGGAAGTGACTGTTGATAAATCAAAATAAATAAATAAATAAATGAAAATACATATGTATACACACATATATAATAAAGGATGGTTGGCTGGGAAGGAACCAGGTGGAAATATAGGTGACACAACAACAAAAAACATTAATAGAATATGTTATGACTAACAAATCAAAGCTAAGTTTGCTCAAATATTATTATCCTGGTATAAAAAGCAAAGGATATAAAAACTTGCAAAGAGTAGCATGAGAATATTTATATGAATTGATAGTGATATGAATACAGGCCCAAGAATACAATATATACAATTATTACAAAAATATAAATGGAAACAAAAAAAAATGGAACAATACATAATTAAAATGACTGAGCTTGGGCCTGAAGAATTAAAAAAAAATTTATCTCCCTCCCCTCTTTACAGAGATGAATGACTATTAGTGTGGAATACTGCTTCAACTATAAGACACAACTGACATATTTGGTTTTGCCAAACTACTTTCCCCCTGATTTAAAAAAAATTCTTTGTTATAAGGGATGGCTCAGTGGTTAATGGAGGTGAAAGGGTTATATTCAGAAATAAAAGTGAAATAACAGCAAAAAAAGTTACAAAAAGCAAAAACTGTGAAATTCATTTTAATATTTCAAGGGATCTATTATTTTATCTGATGATCTCATCCCTACTGTTCCACCAAATCAGATCACAACTCCTCTGTGACTTGGTTTTATGAGTTGTTGTGGCTGAGAAAAATCATCACTTATTGGTCAGCTTCTTCAAACTCAGAAAAGCAAATTCTCAGGCAAATCCGTAGCCACGCATATACAAGAAGGCTTTTCAGCTTGGCAGGACCTGTTCAGTGCAGGCATAATCTTTGAGAATACAGGCCAGACCATGAGATGTTGAAACAGAACTTTATTTGCATTTCATATCTCCAGTAATGTAAAATAACTGTAATCTTGGAATCTATAACAGGAGGCAGGTGACACCATTAAAGATGGTTTGGTAACAAGAAGGAATATTGAGAAAGGATCAGAATTTGTCGGTGCATCCTATAATATTGCTCATGAGATGAGGCATTTGATCTTGGATAACGATCAGAACATATAATTAATTTCCCTTTTTTCTAATACTGGGCTCACCAAACAACTTTCTGTTTACTATTTTAGTCTTCTGTGCTCACCAAAAAATGAACTCCTAATATAGACTAGTCTTGATTACTGGGATAAGCATATTTTACATTATAAAAGCACTGGCATTCTGGTTTAGAAATCACTTTCTTCTGAGTTTGATCAGCATGAACCAATCCCAAAGAACCTAAGTATTCCTGGTCAAACTAGGTGAAAAGCAGTGCCTGAAGCTATAATCTTGACTACCACATGAGATTAAGCACACGACTGCACGAAGGACATTGGTACTCTAAGAAAATTATTCTCAAGCAGTCAATTGGTCTTACCCATCTTTACTAAACTACAAAGTGACACATGGCCCCTGAGTAGGCAGGAGAATATATACCGTAACAGCAGAAGCTCTAAAAAAGGGATGTTCTATCTCATCTATCTAACCCCTTGAGCCCTTGTATACTTTGTTCCAACCTCTTCTTCTATAACCAACTGCTAGACCCCTTCCTCCCATTTCCCAGGTAGTACCTGTGCAGTCTGGTCATGCAGGACATGAACATCATAGTCCAAGAGCTTGAAGAGGGTTACCAGGGAACTATGGTCCACATCCCCACCAGATCGGAACTCCAAGTCTTTCTCCCCATTAAAGTGCACATTGCTCAGCACCAGTGCTAGGCCACGAGGACGAGATTGCAATCTGTAGGCCTGTGTAGGAAAGGCTAGATTAGATTGTGAGAACCAAGACCATATTTTCATCAAAAAGCTATCCAAAGGTAGGAACTATTTCTTCCACAAGCTCCATGAAGATAGGGAATATGTTTTATTCTTTCTCCTCCTCATCCCACTGGGACTAATAAAGGGAGCTAATAAAGGGGTCTATACACAAGGAAACCCTCTATAAGGACTTACTGCTTATCCTGACACAGCCAGAATGTGGATGTGGATGAAAATGGAGACTACATTTCCAAATAAGGCATCCCCTTCTTCTTTCCCATAACCTCAAGTCATTCTGTAAGACTCACCAAATGGTGGTGTGTTCGATAAAACTCCGGGGTACAGGGTTTCACCTGGAGGCTGGGGGGCCCATCTCCATTGTCTAGAGAATGTTCCATGGTCTCTGAGGCACAGACAGGCAAACAATTTCAAAATCCAAGGTTAAACTCAGCACAAGGAGCTGAACGCGGACTTAATCCTTCTTCCTATCTCTGAGGGAACAGCTTTCCTGAAGAACAGCTTTAATTATTAGTCAGATGCTGAATATAATTTCCTTTCTCACTCTAGAAAAACAAGCTTAGTTTTTATTAAGGAAGATTCATAGATATAAGGACCAACTAATTACAAGGATTTCCAATTTACAGAAGTAGGGCAGGGGGAAAGATAGGTTACTTTTCACAGTCAGGGTATATGAAGGTCTCTGTGCTAGACGACTAATAGATGCACTGAATAACAACCATTTCACTACTGATAGGGTAGGGGCCACACCTGAAACCCATCCAAACAGTAGCTCTATTGGGTCCTGGCCAACTAACTGAAAGCACTATCTTCAGAACACAAGAAAGAGGAGGCTTGGCGATCACTGTCAAATCAAATAAGAAATGAGAAATCCAACTATTATCTCCTCCTCTGAATCCTCACCTACAGAGAGGCGGAGTTGCTTTCGAGGAGGACAGGATTCACATACTGGGAGAGGGAGACTTGAGTCATCATCACAGCCCAACTGTAAGAAAACAACAGTTTCCATGCTAAATCTTAAGAGACATCCTAGTCACAGGTATAACTTCTTTCAATATTCTGAATCCCCTGTGGCAGCTCGAAGACTGCCAACACAAAGCTCACTCGGGGAAGGATTCCTTCCCCAAACATCATAATCCCAGTGCCCCATACCGGTGGCAGTATATGCTGAAAGCTGCAGAGGGTTCTGCGCAGCAGCTCCTCCAGGTGCCCTTGCTTGGTTTCCCGTAAGGCCTCACAGAAAGCTCCAAAGGCATGGGGACCCCTCTTGGGCAGCAAATTAAGGAATTCCACATTCTGGCTGAAACTGCCTACTTTGGTCTGGGGCAGACAAAAAGATGAAAAAAAAAATTGTGTTTGCTTACCCTATATGACAACCTACCTCCCACTTCCAGTGAGGTTTACCAAACTGCTTTTCTTCTTTCTTTTGAAATCTCAATTATAAGATATGGCTCAATGAATAGGGGAGGGGTATATTTGGAAATAAAAGTGATGTAAAAACAAAAGCTATTATAATTTTTAAAAAGTATCTTCACCCAACTTACCAATGCTTATTTGTAGGAAAATTGAGTATAATCCCTTTCTTGTTCCTGAGACCCTGTACCATCTTTGGTATCCCCAGGGCTTCTGTAGCTGTACCCCCTTCATAAGGCCATGTCCCTTTTTCTCTCCAGCTCATGTCACTTCCTCACCCTCAACCTATTTCTCTCTCTAAGCTATGCCTCTCCAAACCCCCAGCTACCTGGATGAGCTCCCTCATCTCCAGTGTGATGATGTCTTTCTCTAGGAGGTGCTCTAAGAGTTCACTAAGCAATAGCTGCTTGGCTAGCACGACCCGGTTCTTCTTCAGAGCTTCCTGATGTTTCTGCTCCATTCCCCAGACTCCCAACATCCTCCTGAGAAAAGTGAAAAGGAAAGGAAATTGTCAAGAGAAGGTATCTTTTTTACTACTTTGGTTGGTGGAGTGGAAGGAAGGAATTGTGGGGAGATGAGGTAGAGGAATAACATAGAGGGACAGGATTAACAAAATCCCAGTTTTGCATACATTTTATTCCACTTGTACTATGTGTGATATGGTACACTTAAGTCTATAAAGAAAATACAGACACAGCCTTTTAAAGAATTCTGTTACCCCAAAATACAACTCCATCTTACACACTGCTGAGGTCTGCATATATATACAATCAGTTTGATAGAGGTGTATATACGGCTGGGGGAGAAGGTCTCAGTGTTAAGAAAAATCAGTTTCTTCAGAGGATTCTGCAAAGAGAGGCAAATTTTAATTTAGGAAAAGCACATCACTAAGTTAGCAATTCTAATGGACATACCTGGCTGAGACTGTCAACAGAAATCTGTTTAAAATGGGCCTATTAAGAAAATACAGCAATTTTAGACAGTCTAGACAATTTCATATTGAAAACTGTTTTTAAATGAAAACAATATCTCTGGCTTAGTTAAGCTGACAAAATTTTAACTGAGTTCAAAAGAACTCAATCTCAATGGGAAATGACACTGTAGAAACTGTCAGAATCTGGAAAGAGGGTGACAGGAAAAGACTGTGACAGGAGGTAGTAAATCAATGTTACTAAGTGATAATGCCATGATTTTATAGAAAAATAGATCTCTAAGGTTTGTGGGTCTGATTGATACAAATCTCAAGGTCGCCAGGCAAGTCACAGTTATCAAAAACCTGGCACCTACCTCACAGTACCTAACAGCAACGAATCCTTCCAACTGCAGTAAAGCGCTCAACCAAGATCTTAAAAACTTCCCTCATGATCCACCCCATCTGCTTCTCTTCTCCCAAGGTCACTATGGGCTCTGCAGTTGGCCACTATATGCCTCTCTCAGAAGACAGCACAATGGTAGATTAGGTTTTCTTAAAGTCGATGTGACAAGCATTTCAAAAAACCATGTGCAAGGTTCTGTGCTCAAAGAGCTTACATTCTACTGAGGGATATCTCATACAAATAAACAAATGCAAGATAATCTGAGGAAGGAGAAAGCACCAACAACTAGAAATATCAGGTAAGGCTGCCTATACAAGGTAGAACACGAGGTGAGCCTTGAAGTAATCTATGCTTTCTAAGAAGCAGTGATGGGAAGAGAGTACATTTTAGGCCTGAGGAACTGCTTGTTCAAAGACAGAGGTGGGAGATGGAATCCTAAGATTTGAAAACATAAATTAGGCCAGTTTGGCTATAACCTAGAGTGCACAAAGAGGGAGAGGGTAATGTGAAGTAAGTTGAGAAACGTAAGCTGCAATCAAATTTTGATGGTATATAGTCTTAAGCAGAGGAGTGACATGATCAGATTTGTGATTCATTATCTATGAAAGAAGGTAAAGGAGAGTGAAGAGTCAAGGATAAGTTAGAGGTTGAGAACCTGGGTAACTGGAAGAAGAGCTGTACATGCAACAGAAATAGGTAAGTTTGGAAAATAAAGTTGGGGTGAAGAGAAGGAAGAGAAAATATGTTCTATTATGGACATGTTTAATTCTAGATGCTTATGAGACATACATGGTAGAAATGTCCAACAGGTGATGCTCCAGGGACTCTATATCACTTTTGCATTAGGTCTGTATATATGGGTTTGGGAGACATCAGCACAGAGATGATAAATGAACCCCTGGGAATAATGATTAGAGGGACAAAAGACAAAGTGTAGAGAAAAAACAAGGCACAAGACAAAGTTCTGGGTAAAAATCGAGTTAAGATGAAGGGACATATATGATGACCCAGCAAAGGAGACTGAGGAAAACCTGTCAGACAAGTAGAAGAGAATATCATGAAAGGAGGGAACAGAACAACCAGAAAGAAGAGATCCTCAGCTACATCAAAGGCAGCAGAAGTCAAGAAGGATGAGGAATGAGAAAGGACCATCAGATTTAACAGTGACAAAATCATTGGTAACCATTGGTAGCTTCTAGGATCCAGAATACAAGTGACTGAGAAGTGAGTGGGAGGTGAGACACTGAAGCAGGAAGCATAGCTGAGTTTTTCTACAAGACTGGCTGTGAAAGGGAAGAGAAGCTATAGGTTGAGAGCCTGAAGCAGTGGTAGGATCAAATGGCTCTTTCTCTTTGCTCATCAGTGGTACACCACTATCACAGGCAGATTCTGTAACGAGGCTGCAAGTAAGGATACTGCTACTTTTGTGTATAGTCAGGTCATTGGACTCTCCTACAGATTCCCAGTAATCCCATATGTCCGTAGCACCACAGAAAGGAAACACTTGGCCCTCCCAAAAGAATTAAGCCTTCATGATGGTGCCTTAGTCTATTCCCTAGTCAAGTCAACAAGTATTTATAAGTGATTCTTATATGCTAGACACTGTGCTAAACACTGGGGATACACAGAAAGATAAAAATACTACCTGCCCTCAAGATAACTGCACACAATCTGGTGAGGAGAGACAAACACGAAAAAACTGTGTACAAATTAGGATATATCAGGATAAACTAGAGATGCTTTCAACTGGAAGGCAATAACACGAATATCTCAAAAACTGTATTTTCAGAAAAAAAATCACACAAACGAGTCACCTCTGCAAAAGAAATTTCACAGAGAACGAACATTACTCATCATTATCCTCAAAGTAACTTGAAGTTCTAGAGTAGGTAGGGCATTTCCAAATATAGGCTTTCCAAAATTACTCACACTGACTTGGAATGTTCAAACCACTTATCTTGAGGGGACTTAATAATTTCCTACACCTGAATACTGCTGCAACAACTGGGGGAAAGAGATTGTAACAGGCAACCCATTTACCCCAGAACAGCTTGACCAAAGACCTGCCAATATATCTCCAAAATGACTCTTAAAATGAAAGTTTGTTATCTGGGAAGACATTAAGCAATTCATTAAATAGAAAATGACAATAAACTGGTAACAGGTTGAAGAATGTAGCCAAGGGTAAAGTTCTGAGAGATGGATAAATCAGTGAGACAAAAGTGTGGAGGATGGTATAAAAGCACATGAGAAGGGGTACCAAAAGGTGACAAAAAAGTACCATGAAAATTTTAATCTGCCAGCTCCATATTTGGAATCCCCTCTGCATTGCTCTGACGTTATTTTCCCTAAAGACCCAGTGGAAGCTTTCCTGTAGTAGGCTATAAATCCCTCTAGGGCAGGAACCATGTCTTATTAATTTTCATACCACTACTGAATACTGGAGTGTGTTTTACTAATGGTAGGTATTCAACATTTCCTGATTGGAGGCCAGCCTCCTCAGAGAAAACTCCTTCTTGGCCTTCTGTGATTACATCTTTCTTTGTAATCCTTTAGCTCTTAGAATCATAAAATTATAACATCTTTAGAATTAAGGGAGGGATCAGGAACTTATTTTCTATACCACACATTTAACATTAGCTACACTCCTAACCTCTCATGAACTGGGCAATCCATGGGTTATTCAGATTTAGAGCTGGAAGGGCCTTAAAATCATCTAGTCCTAGAGAGGTGAAGTTATTTGCTCCTGGTTACAGTAACAGTAGCAGACCCAGGACTTAAATCCAGAGTTTTTTACTTCTAGTGTTTAGCACAGTGTACAGGAAAGTGCTCAACTGCCATTTAAATATACTAAAAGTGAACTGATACCCAGAAAAGAAGGTTACATAAAAACAAGATATAAAAAATTTTAAAACAAATGGCTGGGATTTATAAAGGAACATGCCACTAATCAACTATGTTCTTTAAGAGATATATAACTTCTCTCTGGTTCTCTTGTTCTTCTCTGCAAAATGAGTGGCCTGGAAAAATCACTAAGAACCCTTCTAAGTATAAACAATTACGTTTATAAAAAATTACATTTGTGATAGCGCACCCAGACCTAAGGAGCTACCAACAAAATCTCGTAACCTCAGAGATTATCTCATCTAAGCCTCAGTTCAGGGGTTCTTAACTGAAAGATGGGAGAGGGTGCCTGAACTATGTTTTTTTCCTTTTTAAAATATTTATATAATTGCATTTCAATATAACTGGTTTCCTTTGCAACATTATGTATTTTGTAGCATTAATCTGGGCAGGGATCTAAAAGATCCGTGACACTTCCCCCCCCAAAAAAGGTTAGGAATCCCTGCCTTTTAAAGGAAGTGCTCATTGTATACCATCTCCCACAAATGTCCCTCTCTCTCTCTCTTTCCGTATCTGAGGTTTCGCAGATCTCAGTCCCTCCCAAAGGAACCTAGGAGCTCTTAAGTGTTCAGAAGCTCTTTAGGCAGAAATGTGGCCCTTGTCACACCGGGGCCTGATACCTCACTGACAGGTACAGGCTGAGCTAAGGATGCCCACCACCCCACCTCCCTCGCTTACCCTACGTGGCGCTGCACCTCAAGCCTCAGACACCTGCCAACTGTCTCGAAGGATGTGCCCGGATGGAAGTCTGACTCAGTTTCCTCATCTGTAAAACGGAGCCAATAAGAGACCCTCCCTCCCAGGACAGTGATGTGGAGCAAATGAGATCAAGTTTGCAAAGCGCTTAGCTCGATGCTAGCAGTAACGCAGTATTAGCTCGCTGCACATAGTAGGCGCTTAATAAATGCTCGTTTCCTGCCTACGGGAAGGGGCAGGTAAGTGTGGGGGGGCCTCCATTCTTCGCACCCGGATGCTGGTTCCTAGGCGGGCCTGTCTCCGCACCCACCAGGAGCCAGGCCCTCTAGTGGGGAACGGGGCGGTGGTCCCGGGGTTAGGAGTTAGGGGTCAGGACCCGCCCCCCCAAGAGCCGCAGCGAAGGTTCAGGGTTCCCCGCTGGGCCTGGAGAAGCGGTCCCGGCCCGGGCTGCCCGAAAAGACGAGAAGAGTCGGCATCGCCGCGGGCTCCACTCACCTGCGCCCCCCGTCCACTGCCGTCGACCCCCTCCGTCCGAGGCTTGGGCAGGCTCCCGCGCGCGCCTCCGCCATTTCCCGCCTTTCTCAGCCCGGGAGAGAGCCGCCCACTCCACAAACAAATGAAACGCCCCCTCGGGGCCCGCGCTCCCGCCCCCGACCCTTTCTTTGGCTCCTCCCTCCTCCCGCGAGATGCTGAATGCGCATGCGCACGGCCATTTGGTCCGCCCCCGGACCAAACCATTAGCTGCGGCATTCTAGCCGCCGCCGGAGAGGCGTGCGCAGGCGCAGAGCGTCCCGCTTCGGAGCTTTCGGCCTTCTCCCGGAAGAAGATAGAAGATGACGGTGGGTGGGGGAGAGACAAAAGGCGAGGGGGGTGGAATGGGAGGGGGGAGACGGAGACGACGTGCTCGCTCCCCACGTAGGGATTGGATTGGTCGTAGATTCCCGCGGAAACTGACGTATTTGCCCGCCCATTCTAAGACCCCATGCACTGGCTCCCTTTTTTTTTTTTAAAGTGATAGCCAGCGGAAAGAAGGCTTAATTAACTCCTAGAACGTCACCCCCTCCACTCCCACTTTACCGAGGCGGAACTGAGGCTCAGAGACGGCTGTGATTGGCGGCCCAAGGTCATACCGATTGAAAAGTTGCAGACCTTGGACTTGAATCCAGGTCATTGAATTAAAGGCCATTCAGACCCATATCTCATTTCAGATCTCAGGGGAACCAAAGAAAGTATGAGGTTCAAAGGGTGTGTTGAAAACTGGTTGTTAAGTTTACAGTGTGAGCCTTTAAACCTCAGAAATTTGCAAACACGACAAATCAGGGTTTGATTTATTGTTTTGTTAATTTTGTTGTGATTTTGGAGAGCCAGTTGTTAAATATTTGTCAGCCTACCACTCACCTCTTTGCTTTTTCAGAGGCGTAAGAAGAGGGGTTATGTTACTTGAAACAATTAGGTTCCTAGAGGGATAGACAACGGGTATCATGTGCCAGGCAAGTCAAACGTGGCCTTGACCACCATTTCCCCTCTGACTCTGATGGAGACAGCCCGGCACCCTGAGCCCAACAGTGCCCCCCCAAACCATCAGACCTGGGGCAGCTAGATGGTGCAGTGGATAGAGCACTGGCCCTGAAGTCAGGAGGACCTGAATTCAAATCCGACCTCAGACCAAACACTTGACACGTACTAGTGTGTGACCCTGGGCAAGTCACTTAACCCCAAATGCCTCAAAAGTAAAAACAAAAAACAAAACAAAAAAACAAAAAAAACATCAGACCTGCTTTCTGCCCACTCTTCACAGCCATCATTGAAAAATCATTGTGAAGATGGGGCCCACCTTCCTCTTTACCACCAGAAACAACAATCAAATAGGCATAGAAGCCCTGGGGAGTGAGAACGCCCCTCAAACCACTGGTCCTGCCTGCTCACAGCCCAGCCCTCACAGCCATCGTTAGGAGCACTACTTCTGCAGAGAAGGGTACTGCCATCCCCACCACCTGCCGCAACTCCCACACACAGGACAGGCCAGCCAGCCCAGGAGAAGCATCAAGGCATTCTAAGTCAGAGACCAGGAGGCAGTATGTGCTGATGATAGCCCTTAACCCTGGACCAAACAGCCCTAGGAATAGCAATGCTTCCAACCCAGTACCCTTGGCCATCATCCTGGGAAGCAACCCCTGTGGAGATGCAACCTGGCCCTACAGGTACTACAACCATAGCTACTGAAGACCCAGAAAAGAAGAGTCCTTGGCACTGTCAAATGGTTTAGCATCAGAAATTGGTATCATTTTACAATGACATTAAAGCAAAGACATCTGCTTTACTGCTGTACCCTGAGGATCTTGGGACTTTTCCATCTCATTTGCTCTGAACTCTTTCATAAGTGCTGTCTTCCTCGTTAAAATGTGAATTCCTTGAAAGCAGGAATTCTTTTTTTTAAAATTTTTATCCCCAGAACTTAGCACAGTGCTTTGTACTAATAAATACTTAGTAAAGGCTTTATTCATTCATTCAATCTATTAACTTGCCTAATATCATCAAATTAGTGCCAGAGTCTCGATTAGAATCCAGGTTTCCTAACTCCCAGTCAGGTGCTCTTTTCTGCTACAAAATGCTGTGCTTTGGTTTGGCTTCTTGCTAATCCCTGAGCCAAGAACACATAGCTTACCTGGCCCGGACCTTAACAGAAGTCTTCCTCCAGCGTCCCTGGGAATAATACTGATAACAATAATAATTGTTTTCCTTCACTGAAGTCTTTTGCCCTTGAACAATTCGACCTAAGTTCAGATATATACTCATCATCAGATGAGTTCCCTATTTATGTCAAAGGCACCACCATCCTTCCAATATTGCAAGTTCATAATTTCAGAACTATCCTGGACTCCTAACATTTCCTTACCCCAAATATCCAATCATTTGGGAAATCTTAATCATTTCTACTTCCACAGCATCTCCATAATGGCAATACAACATTCCTTCAATATCAACTTCTTATTCTCCTTTCTGTTCTCTGTGAGGAGGTCAAACTGGCCTTCTCTGTTTCTTACAACACTCCATGTCTTATCCTCTATGTGCCTTATCAATGGCTGTTCACCCATTTACCCACACATCATAATTCCTCTTTTCCTTTAAGTATCTCAGGCATCATCTTCTTCATGAAGCCTTTCCTGATGCTCCCAGCTGCTACTGCCCTCCCTCCCAAATTACCTTGTATTTATGTAACGTCTGTGTGTGTACATCTATATCCAGATATCTAGATATACATACACATGTGTGTATATTTATACATACAAATTATATATATGTTATATATGTATATATACATTTGTTAATTTTATACTGTATATATTTTTATATGTACTCTTCTCCATTAGAATGTAAGCTCGGGGGCAGCTAGGTGGTACAGTAGATAAGAGCTCCAGCCTTGGAGTCAGGAGGACCTGAGTTCAAATTTGGCCTCAGACACATGACACTAGCTGTGTGACTCTGGGCAAGTCACTTAACCCTGATTGCCTCAAAAAAAAAAAAAGAGAGAGAATGTAAACTCATTGCAAGCAGGGATTGTCTTGAACCTTATACTTGTATCACCAGTGCCTGATATAGTGGTACATAGTAGTCATTTAGTAAATATATGATTGATTGATTGAATGGGAGGACAGCATAATAATTAAATCATGAACTGTTGAAATTTACAATTTACAAAGCATTTTACAGGCTTTCTTCTCATTTGATCTTGACAACATTCTGAATTTGTTAACACAATTGTTATTTTGATTTTTAAGAATGAGGAATCTAAGGCTTTTTGAGGTTGAGGCTAGAGCTGAATTTAATAAGATGACATTTAATAAGATTAAATGTAGAGTTCTACTCATGAGTTCAAAAAATCAAATAAAGAAGGAAGAAAATGGGATTTTGCATTAAAAAAAATATAGAGGTCCTAGAGGTCAACAAGCTGTATGAGTCAACAGTGTGACATAGAAGCCAAAAAAGTTAATGAAATCTTAGATTGAATGAAGTAGAGAGGTCAGAACAAGGGAAGTGATAATTCCCTGTACTCTGCCCTGGTCAGTTAACATCCGGGGTACTACCTTATGTTCAGTTCTGGGGACAAGGTTTTACCACAGACTTTTGACAACCTTGTGCATCTACAGAGTAAACAGCATGGTGAGAAAATTGGAGAATATGCTAAACAAATGCCAATTGGGAAATAAGCAGTGTTTATCCTGGGAGGGGGGAAGACTCAGGGAGGGAAAACATGATAGCTACCTAGTCTGTGATGAGTTATAAGGAAGAGCAATTAGGCTAACTCTGACTGGCTACAAAGGAAAGCAAGGCACAATAGGCGGAAGTTTGAGAGAGGCAGTTTTTGGCTCTGTGGGAGGAAGAATTTTGTAAACAATAAGAACTGTTCCAAAGTGGAGCGGGCTGCTTCAGGAAGTGGTAGGTTCCCCTTCAATGGAGGTCCTCAAGGAGAAGCTGGATGACTTCTTGACAAGAATGTTGGAGAAAGGATTCCTACTCAGATAAGGTTGGACTAGCTTACCTCTATAGGCTCTTCCAAATCCGATTTTTGATTATTAGGTGACTTGTCCAAGGCCACAATCAGTGATAAGAGTTAGGTTTTAAATCCAGTTCCTCCTTCTCCTTGTGAAATTAGAGGATGGTAGGGAGGGTACATAGCAGTCCCACTTCCCCTTCCTTATGGTTTTGCCATTCCACTTGCATCATCCAGTTTTGGTAGGGGAATGTTGGTTAAGGGCTGAGGACAGGGAGAGGGCATTTGGACCCTGTCACTGTGGGCACAAAGCATGGAGACAAAATAGAGGTGCCAGTCATATCATATCTCTGGAAAGAGGAATGTACCCTGATGGCCTCTTCTTCTTGCCAGGTACCAGTCCCTGCTCAGGTTATCCAGGTAAAGAAAATCACTGATGGGGAAATTTCATATGTCCAGGGAACACAGGTTTAGGGAGGCGTCCAGCCCTCCTCATAGAATACACTGTCATCACCCAGAACATTGTCATCATTGGTATTATGGTTACTAAGACTGATCTCATATTCTGGGGGTGGGGTAAGAGGCTCCAAACGTGGCAGGCTTTGCTGTGGGGGTGTTTCGGACTCTATTAGGTGTCCCTGAAGCCGAAGACCGATTGGGTTGCCCAAAGAGCCTTCTGTCTGGGTCATTGTACCTTCTGACCTTCCCCGCCTGAGAGCTCCTGGGAGTACTGCCAAATGGTTAGGTTCCTCTTCCTGAAGCGATGAAGGGATCACACTGCTGTATGGTGGGGGCTCACCCAAATCTGAGTTGGGGCCCTGAGTTGATACCACGGCTTCTTCATAGCTTGGTACTTCGAAGGCTGCGTTGTCCCTGAGAAGGAGATACATAGGGTCAGTATTCCACCAACCAACCCCTGGGAGATCCTTGGGGTTCCCTCACACCCTTTTGCTAGTTCTTCCCCTTTCTGAACCCAGTCACATAGGGAAGCAGGCCAGCCATATCTGACACATGGGAACAGGGTTGGTGGAAGGAGCCCAAGGCATATATGTGCCTCCATCCATTCTTCTCAATTTACCTTGCTGAGCTCGAGGCCCCAGAGGTATCCGTTGACATTGCCTGGAGCCCCCATTCCTTGAAGCAAAAAAGGAGGCAGATAAGGAGAAGAAGTCCACCTAAGGAGAGGAAGAAATAAGCAACAGGTCTGATATCTGTCTGTAGACCCAACAGGGTGAACCCTAGGAGGGTGGAGGCACAGCACAAGAAGGTCAGTATCTTCACCAGTTTCTTCCACACTTGGCCTGGAAACATTGCCCCTGCCTGGGCTCCTGAAAAAAAGAGAGGCAAAGGAACATTCAGAGAACAGAAGAACATAAACAAGGAGTAACTAACATGGTGCCATAGCTATGATTACCTTGAAATTCATTTAAACAATTGTAGTGGTATACTTACTTGCTTCTGTTGTTTAAAGTCCAGTGCAGAGTAAATTGCTTAAATTTTTCTTTTAAAAAGGCATGAGTGCTATGTCTATACTAGTCATCAGAATCAGGACCAAGAGAGAAGCTTTGGGAGGGTGGGGGAGAGAAGTGGGAAATAGTGTCAGATACCAGGTGGACCATACTTTGCATTTTTATACTCGATTAGCAGAGGACTGGGATAAATGTCAGAGGATTCATGAACTTGAGATAAAAAAAAACCCAACGTATTTGTTTCCACTAACCTCTAACTGAAATTTAGCATTTCCTCCAATGATATAAAAACATTATCCTGAGGAGGGGTCCCTAAGCTTCACCAGCCTGCCAAAAGAGGCCATGACACAAACAAGATTAAGAACCCGTGCTGTATGCCAATCACACTATGAGGGTATGGGTGAAGATAGGGGTCTGTGGTAACTAATAGTGACAACACAGTCAATATTACAGAGAAGTAACCCAGAATGTCTTTCTCAGCCGTGACACTAGGTTAACCATATCTACCCTCTTGATTAAATACTGGTCAGAGCCCCCAGTCTCCTTTCCCTTCCTTTCCCCTTGGTAGCCCCGGTTCTCTCTCCCTTCCAGTGCTCTGGACACAGCAGACATTGCCTTAGGCCTCAATGCACACAGGCATCTTTGGAATCTAGGCAAGGGGGCCTGTTGTCCTTACTGGATTGATCCCCTTTACTACCCTTCCCCCTACCTCCCCACAAGCACATATGCCAGTTTCTCAGTCCGACTCCCCTCTCTCTCCCCAGTTTCTGTCCCTTTTGGGTGGGGTTCTAGTCCCCCCTCCCCCCCAACATGCTGTGTCAGCCAGGCTCCACCTACAAGGACAAAGCGCCACAAGTACAGGGATACATGATAGGGGATCTTTGAAAGAATAGGACACATAGAAGCCCAAAGTCTTTCTCTTTTCTTGTCTCCATATCTGCTTATGCCCCCTTCCTCCAGAATCTTTTTTGAGGTCAGGATCCTTGAGTCCCCACCCAGAATCTAGCACAGAAAACCCTTTCCTTATTGTCCAGGTAGGACCCCAGCCCACTGCAGAATTCTACATCCTCCCCCTCTCCACCCCTACAGCCAGATCCAGTAGCTCCAATGAGCAGGGAACCCTTGGTCAGGGAAAGGGGCCAAGAAAAAGGGATGGTTACCTCCCCCATCCCCCAAGTTAGAGGTTTCCTTCTTTCTTCATCTTCAGTCACCAGCCTCAGGTATGTAAGTATACCTCACCTGTCTTTGGCCAGTCTCCTCTGAAATCAGGTGGTATTAGGGGAGGAGTCACCAGCCCCACCCCTTTCCTCTGCCCGAGTGCCAAGGGTTATCTCAGCTGGACACCCCTACTTTTTCCTCCTTCTTGAACTCTGACATTCAGCCGCACCTCCAAATATAGTTCTCCAGCCTCTACCTCCACACTCCAAGAAGCCTTAAATGGGAGTGGCTTCTCCACCCCTGCTGCCCAGCTTTTTGCTGTAGGGGCAAAGTGTCCTCTGTCTCACAGTAGATTCATTCCCTGACTAAACTACAGCAATCCTGTCCCGTATGACCTTCAGTGTTTCCCAGGTTCTGTCCTTTACAATAGTAAACATTGCATTCTTCAGACAAGGGTTAGATGAATACAGGGTTCATTTACTGGTCAATCTGAAGGGGGAAAGAGGGTGGAGTGGGGGAAGACTGAAGGCCCCTGCCTAGAGTACTTGCTGTCCAGACCTGCATAAAGAAAACAAGACTCCTCACACTCCAGGAACTAGTGAATATCGATGAAGACACTGGGGTTCCCAGGGGCATATCAGCTTCAGGAAAACTAGCCCAAGTTCCCAGAGTTAAGCCTCCCCTCTTCCTCTCTCAGGGTATATATCTGGGATAGAAGGGGAAGATGATGATGATGTCACATGATGCAGTAGAAAGAATACTAGCTTTGGAGTCAGAAAATGTGGATTCGAATCCCATTTGGGATTTGAAGTCCTAATACTTGGTACCCATGTACCTTGGACAACTTACTTAACCTCTGTGGGCCTCAGTTTCATCATCCTTTTTTTTAAATTTTTTTTTTTTTGGCTAGGCAATGGGGTTAAGTGGCTTGCCCAGGGTCACACAGCTAGGAAGTGTTATGTGTCTGAGGTCGGATTTGAACTCAGGTCCTCCGGAAACCAGGGCCAGTGCTCTATCCACCTAGCTGCCCCCAGTTTCCTCATCCTTAAAACAAAAGGATTGAACTAGATAACGACTTCTAGGGTTCCTCCTAGTTCTGAATCTATGATCTTGTCCATGTTCCCTTTTGGGTTGGTAGAGAGGGAAGGTGAGGCCTAAAGAGAATTTGGGGGTGCTGGAGAGAACCCCATTAGGCTGTGTGTTGTGCTCTTCCCCCTCCTCCCAGTCTTCCTATCCCATTGGTATGATGTGTGTATTGCTGGACTCTTTCCAACCACAGGAGAGAATCCTAGGGAAGGGTACATTGAAGGGTGTGTATTGGCTAAATGACAAGTAAAACAGCTTGGGCAGAGTGACTGCTGGAGAGGAAAAGGAGAGGCTGAGGGGAAGGGAGGGAGCCAAGGGTCTTAGGAATATAGGACTGACTTTCTGTAAAATGCCATTATGCTCTACCAGTATAAGGTCTTCTTATCTACCAGTGGGGGGGGGTCCTGTTGATCCCCCTACATCTCTCTTGTCAAATAGGGAGAGGGAGAGTTGGGGCTGGTACTTCCTTAGGCATTTATTTTAGAAGAGAATTTGGAACAACCAACTATCAGATATGACAGACCAAGTCTCACCTCCCTGTGTCCCCAACTCCTTTTCCTAACTAAACTCTGATCGCCATCTCCACATCCCCACCAATTCTTGACAGTCTCAGCCTCACCCCTTCCCACCTTCTGGCTTTTTACATTCAGATCTGCCTGCTTCTTCCACCCTTCAAAGGACTGAGCTACTAAGGAGGGAGAGGAGGAGGTAGTGGTAAGGCAGAAAACCTGAAAAGTCTGGGCTGAGAGAAGAAGGGAGAGAGGCCTTCATTCCTTCCATGATTCTGCACCTCTTCGTTTTTGGGTTTTATTTGTTGTTTTATTTTTTTTTTAGGTGTAGGCTTATCCATGCTTTTATAATGAAGTGCCTTGTCTTGTCTTTCTTGCCATCATATAAACATGTTGTAGGTAAAAGGCTCCAGAGAGACTGTAGATTTGAGGGCTCTGAGTGTGTTTGACTGCTGAATGACTGTTATATAGCCTCGAAGTGATGAAAGGAATGTCTTTTTATAACTGAGTTGTCAGCCTAAATCTGTGTTTCTCCTGTGTATATCTCCTGGTGCCCTTTATCCAAAGTGTGGGGCTGGTAGTAGGAGGTGACTGGTTGCTCTGTGACTGTCCCTAGCTGAGTTTTATCACATTTCAGAGCTGGAGGAAACCTCAGAGATCATTTTGTCCAAACCCTCTCATTTAATGGATGAAGGAGCAAAGGCTCAGATCACTGAAGAGATCTGTCCAGGTTTATAACAACTAGTGAAATCCAGGCCTGGGCCCTTGTTACCCCGCCCAATCCACCCCCGGTTCAGCATTTTTCCCAGTGGGGAACCTGTGCCTTCTAGGTCCTTGGGTGGGGCCTTTTGACTTAGTCCAAGTTTTACAGAACAATTTCTCTTATTAAGATGTGGTCTGTGAAGTTTGGATTCAGTCAAAGGGCCCCACCTGTGCATTAGACATGTTATTTTATGACGAAGATCATAGTTACCTTGCCTAGCCTTTTACTATCTTCTCACTCTCAGTTTCTGCTCCCTAGAGGCAGCAAGGTGCAATGAAAGAATCGCCAGATTTGGATGAGAGGGCCTGGCTTTGAATGCTGCTTTTCCATTTACTACCTTGTAAACTGGGACAGGTGACTTCTGCTAGGCCTCAATTCCCTTATCTGTAAGAAGTAAAGGATGAAATAAATAATCTCTAAGGTCTCCCAGATTTAAGTTGGTGTTCCTATAATCTTTCCTACCCACTGCTGCCAGATCAATTAGTTTTTCTGGTGTGCAGATCTGATCAAGTCATTCTGATGCTAAAAATATTCAGTGGCTCTTCATTGCCGACAACATAGATTCCAAACTCAGCCTAGAATTCAAAGTCCCCCACAAATCTGGTTCCAGTCTTCTCTTCCACTCTTCTTCACTTAATTTATGAGTAAACTATACTAATCTCCATCTCCAAAATATACAACTAATTTTCTAATCTCCATGCCTTTCCTTATGCCGTTTCTCTCATTTATAATGGACCTCTGATTTCAGACTGTTGAAGTCTGGGAGCCTTTTTAAGGGTCAGCTGAAAGGCCACTTACTCAATGAAGCCTTTCCTTACCATCTTAGTTAGGAACGATTTCTCTCTACTATGAAATTTCATAACAATTTCTTGATATCTTTTTTTTTCTGGCTTACTTTGTATTGTGGTTGTTTACATGAGTATTGTCTCGTTAATAGATTGTAAACTTCTTGGGAACAGTGATTATATCGAGGGGGATGGTCTGTTTTTTATTTAGCATTGTTATGTTTTCCAAAATTATTGTAATGAATGGATGAAAGAAGGATAGTTCCTATCCTGTATGGTAGTCATTCTTGAATTCAAGGGGATTAATGTGAAGATCACAAGACCCAAGAGGAAACTGAACTCTCCCACTTAACAAGTTGTGTGACTTGGACAAGTCACTTAAAGTAGGACTCAGTTTCCTCATCTTTAAAATGAGAAGGATGACTCTTTAAGCTGCCTTGCAGTTCTAACAATCTATGATTCTATGATTGAGGATTGGGATAAATACCAAGAAAAGTGCAGATGGGTTAGGGAGTGGGGGGTAGGAAGTGCCCAGCAAGACGGTCTTCTCTGCCAGGTATCTGACTTGTTTGACCACCTTCAATTCCTGTGCCATCTGTTTATCCCTGAGCCCTATATTTCTCTGCAACAGTGGTCATTCCTCTGACAACAGCCATCCAGGCTCTGCTTCTCATGGTATAACCTTAGATAAATTACTTTGTCTCTCCCGGCCTCAGTTTTTGTATATGTAAAATAAGGAGGTTGGACTAGGTGATCTCTCAAATCCTTTCCAGCCCGAAATCAAATGATTTTCTGATCCACATCCATGCACCACATTTATAAACAGATGAGATAAGGCTAAAATTAATTTCAAGGGTAATGTCAAGAAAATAAATTTGGGAAAAGGCAACTTATGGGCTAAAGGATGTGTGGAAAGATAGAAAGGAAGTCCACAATGATCTGATTTGATGTAGGTGGGTGTAGAGGATGAAGGCACTGCTTTAGGTC